CAAATAATTAAATTTACTTAAATTATTTAAAATATTAATTTAAATAATTAAAATTATAAATAATTAGTTTTATAATAATAAAACAATAAAATATTAATAAAAATATAATAAAAATATAAAAATAATAAATTATTAATAATATATAACATTTATCGAATAAAAAGTTTTAAATCTATTTTAGCGATTTTAAAAATGTTATAGAGTTGTTTAAAAAATAAAATTATTACATAATTAAAATATATTGTTTTATTAAAATTTTTATAATCTAAACATATTTTGTAATATAGTAAATAAAATAATTAATAAAATTAACTAATAAAAATATTTTTATAAAATTGAGTCTGTTTATATAGATTAGTCTTAAAACAATTTGATAAAATAACTGAGGTATCATGTTTATAATCACATACATACCACAATAAAAAACAAAAAGTAGTTAAATAACATTTTGCATGATTTCTTTTCAACGCGTTTTCAAGTCGTGTATAATTAAAGTTGAGCATTTTGGTGAATTTGCAAATTCAACTTATCTTTACCACTTTAAAAACATGATTATTCCTTTTATTTACCAAAAATTAACAGTTGTCTTTTTATTTTAAATACAAATATTACTAATTTTAAGTTATATTCAATATAAAAAATTATAATATGTGATTTTATAATTTATAGTATATCTAAGTAAATTTATTCCAAAATAAAATTACATATATTTATAATATATTTGTATTTTATAAAATATTATTATATTTATAATATATAATTCTTAATGAAAACACAATTAAATTATATGATGACAATAATACAATTGTTAAAACCAATACTATAAATATATAAAAAGTATAACTTTTTGTATTTTATTGTCTTCATTATCTTAAAAATAACAAACATATGCAAGACTCAAATATCAACAAACGTTTTGAAGAGTTCCGCAATTACTTTACTTTTGAATTGAAAACGCAACTTCCTGAAAATCGTCTACGTGAATTTCATTATTGTATTTTCTGTGGAAAAATGTTTAATAGACGTAAATACATGAAACACTCTATGGAAGCAAAACTCGAAGAAACAAACAAATTTAAAAGTATTAATAATTTTAAATTTTTTGATGAGAATTTCGACAAATTTAATTTGATTGCGCTCAATAGTCAGCTTGTCGAAGAAGAAAAAAATAAGTCAAGTGGTTTGACTGATAATGAAATAGACCTCTCGCCAAATATTTATAGAGGTGCCGATTTATTGAAAGTGAGGAATGAACTTGAGTCACAATTGAGACAAACAAGTTACACTACATTTGAAGACGTCAAGAAATATTTATTGAAAGGATTGGAAGAAACTGTTCGTGTTCTTCCACTCATTAATTATCAAAATTTCCAAATGAATATTTCTGTTTTACACAGCGAGTCAACACAAGAAGCACTCGACAATATCAGTAAAAGTTTTGATGTTCCTATTATTAATTGTGAAGATGTTGTTTCAAAAAATTCAACTGGTATTGTGGACTCTGGAACTTTATTAAAAACTCCCGCTATTACAAATTGTATTCCGACTCCTCCAACAATACAAACAAGAAATGCGACACATGTTGATTATAGCCAGGCTACCGAGAACGAATCTCAGAACACCAACGATTCGACCAAAGAAGAAATAAAATTCACTGTGTTTGAGATCGAACAATTGGAAAAAATGAAACACATTAAAGAGCTCCTCAGACCAGAGAATAAATACTCCGCTGAGTACATCGCACAAGAAACCAACAAAGAAGTACAAAGGCGACTTGGTAAAAATATTGACAGTTATTCAACAACAAATGATGCTGGAAATGAAAGAGGCAGCTTTATAACGATGATGGCTGCATTGATGATGGGAGCATGTGGGTTGACAAATAATCAAATTGATACCATGTCAAAATTGATATCCATAATTTTGCTCATGTCCAATGTTCCTAAAAAAGTTGTTAACACTGCTCTCAGTTCTTCAACCATGCAACGGAGATTTGAGTTGATTTCAAAAAAATCAGATATGACCTACAACTAATCTTCAAGCAGTGTGACTATTATACATTAATGGCCGATTCAGCAATGTACAATGGTGTTGAGTACTTTTCTCTCTTTGTAAGATTTGTGTTTTCAGATGGATCATTTGTTGAAAAGAGAGTCAAAATTGTAAACTATGACGGCAAAACAGATGCTGCGGGGTGGCTCAGTTGGATAATGAAAATATTGGAATTGATGGATGCTGACCTCATTAAATGCATTGGTGCTTGTTTTGATGGAGCTTATGTTCTGATACGAAATGGTGGGCTCTCTGGTAAACTCCTGGCTAAAATTAAAGAGAGAGACGGGCTGAACGGATTTGATTCAAACTACTGCTTTTCACACAGAACAAATAAAGCGACTGAAAAGTGTTTTGGATCACAATGGGGACTGGCTATTGAAAGTTTCTTGGACGGGTTAACAGTTCAGACAACAAGAACAGCATGGGATCAATTCTGTGCCAAAAATCATATCAAAGGTGCAGTTCTCAAATTGGTTCAACGATCCGAAACAAGGTGGCTCCAAACAGTATTGATTCTTGATAACATGTTTGAGAATCTGCCTTCACTTCAAGAATTTTACAGTGAAAGAGAACAATACCAAAAGCCTTTTGGACCTCGCAACATTATGGGTGAGTGTAATGTCAACTGCAAATTGTTTGTTGCGTGTATGTTCTTCACTCAAATAGTGCTCAGTAAGGTGAAGATAATTGACGATTGGCTACAGACCGCCAATTTACTATACCCGTGGCCTATCAACGTTTTGAAGATTTAATTTCAAATATTTTCGAGCTCAGACGTAAGGTGGTCTTAACCGATTATTTAGAAAAATGAAATACACTGAAGATCTTGACAACAACGAAAAGTTCATTTTGAAAAAGTATTCAATTCACCTGCTCCTTAAGTTGGGTGACGCGATGATTTTGAGGTTTGCAATTCCTTCAAGAAAAATGACCAAAGAAGACCTCTTCGATGCTGGATTGTTGAAGGAGAACCAGGTCAAAGGAACGAATATGGCAAATTTCGCGAAATTACAAAGAAAACTCAAAGGAAAAGAATTGGTAATAAACATCAAAATTTACAACAACTTTGATGCAAAATCATTCGAGGAAAGTGATGACCAAGAACTAAAAGCGGAAGTTCAAAAGTTTCAAGATTGGTACTGTGCCAACATTGAAAAAGTCGAACAAATTGCAAACAGGTTGGAAAGGGAAGAAAGGGCTGATGCTAATGAGGCGATACGTACTCTTGTTAAACAAGTGAGATTAACAAGTACGGATCAAACAGAAGCAACAGATATCGCGGAAGATTGCAGCAGTAGTGAAATTGTTAAAGAAAAGAGAGCAAACTCCATTCAACACAGAAAGCAAATAAGGATTTTATTCAAAAAAGAAGCAGAAGATTTCTTAAAAAGTTGCCCAGCCAAAAAACTAACTTTGAACACCTTGTTTGCTCTGATGAGTCAAGAAGAAAAAATCAATTACCACGTTTATTCAATCTTGTGAAAAAGATGAATGCTAAGAGTCCAACCACTTGCCCAGTTGAAAGATCTTTTAATAAAATTGGACAACTTGATAGAGCAAACATGAGCGTTGAAAAGAAAGTTGCTTACATGGATGTTGGGGATGCTCTGAAAAACTAATTACCAATTTTTAATTCGATTTGTTTAAATGAATATTTTAATATATAAAACAGTCAAAAAAGCTCAAATATTTCGGGTTGATTTTTTATTGAGAAAACAGTCTTAAAAATGTAATATTTCGGGAAGGGGTTTTACTATAATAAAATTCATTTTCAACAATATCGAATAAAAGTATAAAACGACCCACCCATCACCGTGAACGGGCAGGAAGGAGGGCTATTGGAATGATTAAGGAATCAACCGACATCTTTTTTCTAAACCTCACCCTCTAATTTAAATAAAATTATACTATAAATTAATAGATACATACATAATTTAATATTATGGGTAATTAATTATACAATAACTAATATTAATCATATAATATACTAAATAATTATAATTTAATTTTCAAGATATAATTTATAATATAATTAATTGTGTAATGAAAACTATAATTTAAAATCAAACGTATTTATCAAATCAAGCAGGTTTACTTTTTGAGAAAAATATGTCTAACAATGATAAACCATTTAAAAGAGATTTATGTCAAGTCCTTTGAAACTGAAGGAGACTTGTTACTGATAGTCTCAACTAAGATCTATGATCAATGATCGAACAGAGAAGAAGTTTGCGGCTGCTATATTCAAGTTCTCGATGTAGGTGGAGAAGAAATTTGGGGAGAAACTGTCTGTCAAAATTTGTTAGACAGATTTTATGTACTGTTGTAATAGTATACAATCACCTCTTGTTAGATTCATCCACGCAACTCATTTAGTAGTGATTGTTGGTGTTAAAGGTGAAGTAGGGAAAACGAATGCGGAGTGTTTGATAGCATTGAATGATGCATTAGTGACTATTGGAGAGATAAAGATACTATAGTTAAAAGGCATGCGAAATCCATTTTTAGGAAATTGCAAATGATCAGGGCAACAGAACAAGTCATCATGTGTTGCCTTCACAGATAGCGAGAGGCTGATTGGCGATGCAGCAAAGAACCAGATTGCAATGAATGTGAAGAATACAGTCTTTGATGCAAAGAGACTGATTGAAGACGCTTTAGTGATCCAACAACACAAGAGGATATGAAGCACTGGTCGTTCACTGTCGTCAACGATGGGAATGACAAGCCACTAATTCAGGTGGAGTACAAGGGAGAGACTAAGAAGTTCACACAAGAGGAGATCAGTTCGATGGTGCTGACGAAGATGAAGGAGACGGCAGAAGCGTTTGTTGGTGGGAAAGTCAACAACGCAGTCATCACATGTCCAGCCTATTTCAACGTTTCACAGCGACAGGCAACAAAGGATGCAGGCACAATTGCAGGCATCAATGTGCTCAGAATCATCAATGAGCCAACAGCAGCCACAATAGCATATGGACTTGACAAGAAGACGGAGAGAGAAAAGAACGTCTTGATCTTTGATCTTGGTGGTGGAACATTTGATGTCTCACTTCTTGCTATTGATGATGGAGTCTTTGAAGTGAAGGCAACAAACGGCAACACACCTTAATGGCGAAGACTTTGATAACAGAATGGTCAACCACTTCATTGCCGATTTCAAGAGAAAGTACAAGAAAGACATTCAGGCAATGCACGAGCAGTCAGAAGACTCAGAAATCATGTGAAAGGGCAAAGCGAACACCGTCATCGGAAGCAACAGCAAACATCGAAGTCGACCAGTTGTATGAAGGCATCGACTTCTACACATCAATCACAAGAGCACGTGGAGTCCCATAGTTGAAGTCACATTTGACATTGATGCAAATGTGATTCTGTATGTGTAAGCTGAAGACAAGACAACGGGAAAGAAGAACAAGATCACAATCACTAACGACAAGGAAAGACTCTCAAAGGTACCAATCGACAAGGTGGTTGCAGACGCAGAGAAGCTCAAGGCGGAGGACGACAAGATGAAGGAACGTATCGAGGGGAAGAATGGACTTGAAAACTTCTGCTACTCGATGAAAAACACACTCAACGAGCAAATTGCAACAAAGCTCTCACCAGACGACAAGGCGGCAATTGAAGCAATTATCAAGGAGATACTCGACTGGCTCGACAAGAACCAATCGGCATCAAATAATGAATACACACAGAAACAGAAGAAAGCTGATGCGAAGATCAAGCCAATCTTCATACAGATATCGACAGAATAAAACTGGTAACATGTCTGGTGCACAACAATGGGGTGCAAAGAAGAGCGACACAAAGGGATCAAAGATAGAAGAGGTCGACTTATGTGATTTACTTGTCTTTGCAAAGTTATTCGAAGTGACTCAAAAAACTAATTTAAATTTGAATTGGTTTTTTAACTATTAATCTGTAACAAAAGTACTTGTTGTTTTGCGTTTGTCCATTATTAAATGTATTTTTGGAAATAATTATAATTTTTGATAGTAAATTAATAATAAAAATATAACTCTTTATATAGTTTTAAAAACATAATAGACATAAAAAAGGATAATTTTATACACAGGAAAACATTCTTAATAGCGGGAGGACGTCCCTATCTCACAAATTACCTATTTCCCCTATATTCCCATCCTTCTTCCCCATGTCCATTTTTTTTCTTTATTTGAATAAAATATATTATATTATTATGTATATTATACATAATAATATATTATTATGTATTATAATGGATTATAATATAATATGTAATATATATCTTGTAATTTGATAAAAACATGAATTTATTTTTTGTTCAGAAATGAGTTTTTTGTTTGTATATTAACAATAAAAAACATATATTGGTGAAAAATATTTATTTTGGAAATAATTCCACAGTTTTATAGTCGATAAATTGGTAAAAAAATATTTTTGTAATAACAAGATAAAAATAATTCTCTTTTACCACAAATGAACAAATAGCTTGATATTATATATATTTTACTTTAAAAAATATAACCTTTTACCAGTTTATTAATTTGAAAAAAAATGCTTAAAAAAGATTAATTTAAAAAAATGATGTTGTTTTAAGTAAAATGGGAAGACAAGAAAATGGTTTTATTATAGTTTATTTTAATTTATTATTAATTAAATTTATTGTTGCTTTATTTGACTAAATATAAATTCCAAATTCCAAAACGGGGTTGTTTTCATTGTCAACTGATAATTCTTTTTGCAAATTTTGTATTTAATTTAAACATAGAAATTCTAACAAACGGGAATTTCAAAGTATCTTTAATTTGTGATGGCATTTGATAAAATTGGGTTGTTTCTCTTAAATAGAGTGTTTTTCATAAAAAAATAACACCATTTTGTTGTGGATTATAAAATAATTTATTAATAACAGTCATGTTTTACTTATTTTTTGAAAAAAAATTAATTAATAACAATAGTTACATTACCATAATAAATAGTTTGTTGAATTAAGACTTAAATAAGTTTTGTTTATTAAAAACCAAGTTTTTTTTAAGTGTTAAAAACAATCTTTGTTTTGTGTATTAAATATTAACTTTGTGTTTCAAAAAAATGTTTTTCATTTTTATAAAAATATAAACAATATTTGCTTCTTATTTTTTGACCAAAATATTTATTTTATTTTACATTGAAAAAAATCCATTTTAAAAATATAAAATGAAACAAACCAAAAATACAATGAAAAAACACAATATAAATAAATGATCTGTAAAAATATTTGGCAAAAATTAACAATTGAGATATATGCCTCTTGAAGAAACGTTTTCAGTTTTTCCACGAGGAGAGGAAGTGAAGAAAGCCCATATATAAAGCGAAAACGAAGGACTAAACATATAGCAGGAGTGACCTAGAAAAGGCTAGAGTTAAACTGTTGGGACCCGAAAGATGGTGAACTATGCTTGTGGTGTTTGAAGCCGAAGGAAACTTTGGTGGAAGGACTTAGGAGTGTTAACGTGCAAATTACTTGCAATATATGAGTATAGGGGCGAAAGACTAATCGAACTATCTAATAGCTGGTTACACCTGAATATTCCCTTGGGAAGGTTGAAGTGAGAAAGTAGTGACGATTGGTAAAGATAATGATTGGATGTAATGGAGAGCTTGACTTTTCAACAATTTAACAAACTATGAATAGTCGAGAGATTCAAAAATATACTAATTTATTAGGAGTGAGCATATGGGACTTCAAATCGGCCAAGTTTAATAAGCAAGACTGGCGATGCGGGATGAACCGAACATACAGATAAATTATTTAAGGCTTACATGAGGAGAACTATAAAAGGGTTCATTCACATTGAATCCAGGTTGATGGCCATGGAAGTTGGAAATCGCTAAGGAGTGTGTAACAACTCACCTATCGAATGGATGAGCCCTGAAAATGGAAGGTATTATAATGAGAGAGGGTGATGCTGTATCCTTGTGGAGGCTGAGGCACACGAGGAGTAAGGAAATGCATGGTGTCAAGAATACGTGAGTGATAAAGGTAGAGAAGTAATTTCCATTGAAACAGACTTGAGTACAGATCTTGGTGGAAGTAGCAAATACTTAGAAGAGGAAAAAAATATCTAAGGACTGAAGAGAAGAAAGGTTCCTAGACAACATTAATTGGAATAGGGTGAATCGATCCTAAAAGACAAACGGAAAAATGCAAGAATGAACTCATACACAAGGCTTACAAAACAACCATACCCAATGAATATATAAACTTGTATCACGAAGCTAAATCATTTTTAATGTATTAGTTTATTATTTAATTGTTTATAATTATAATAGTATAATTTATTTAATTCAATTAATATAGTAAAAGTGTTAGAATTTTTTTATAAAATATATAGTTTCAAGTTTAGTAAATTTTACTAAAAACCCAAACGATATAAATTAATGTTTTTGTATTTTTTTGTCAAATTGGTTTGTTGCAATCAAAAAAACCAAAACAGTTCAAATCTATACAAAATTGATGTTAAAAAAGACTGAATTAATTCTACTCACGAAAGTTTTTAATTTTTTGGCGTGAAAAAAATATGATTGTTAACTTTGTTTTGTTTCATGGCAAAGTTGATTTTGTTATAATTTGTGTTGTATGTATCACGTTTTGACAATTATTATTGTAAATTTTGAATATGTTTTGATTTATTTGTCATCGTTAGATGGTTTTAATTTGTTGTGATTTGTTATATTTGGGTTGTTTTTAAAAGGTCTTTAATATTAATTCTATTTTGAAATTCAAATGGTATTTTAAAAAATTGTCATTACAAAAATATGTTAATGTTTTAAAAATTTTGTTTTTCAAATTGTTATGTTTTTTGTATTTGTATTTATGTTATTTAAATGTTATCTATCCCGATAAATAATGTATTTAATACCTATCATTTTTGGGTAAATAAAATAATTCAATATGTGTGTCTTTTAACTATATTTATTGATATTTTAAGTTAGATATTTGGTTGATTATTTTTATTGAGAGTAATTTATTTTTTTGTCCTATAACTGCTTTTGATTTATAAAGGTTTCTAAATAAAATGCCCGATTTTGTAGACATAGCTATCCTAATATTTAAATGTTCATTATACATTAATAATAAATATATAATTATTTAAACTATAAGTTTATAGTTATAAATATAAATCATGTACTAAACAGTTTAATTAATTATTAATACATTATTTCACTTTGTATAGTTTAAAACTATAGTATTGATATTATTTGTTATATAGTAAATTTATCAATTAACAAACATTTTTAGTTTTTGAGTTTGATTATTATTATTTAATATAGTTTTAAAATATAAATATTTAGTTAGTAACGTTAAATATAAATATGATAATAAACATTTCTCTATTATTATTATTAGTTGTTTTATAGCATTTTTAATTATTAATTAATGGCTTTTTAGCTTTATTATAAGTAGAATAGGTTTATTTTATTACATATTATTAATAAAAATACAATTATTTAATAGATTGTTATTTCATTGTTATTTGTGTTATTAAAATGTTATTTGTAACTATCGGTTTGATATGTAAAACAGTGCTGCATTTGTCACAATTTTTATGTCAATTATGGCAATCACAGCAGTAATAAAATATAAACCGATGTTAGAGAATTGAATTAGCTTGTTTTCCCATTAATTGGCTTAGTATTGATTCAAATAACTATCTGTTTCTATGTTTTTTCATTTACAAAAGTCGGCTTTAAGCTCGCCGCTAGATCTAAAAGAACTAAGTGAACATAAATTCAATACCGCTTTGGTGACGTGGCAAATAACAAAGAAAAAACACTTTTGTCACGTGATAGACCCTGTTCCAAATAAGAATGATTTATTGAGTATAAATTGGTTTTTATATAAAGTTATCGAGTTTTTTGTTGAATATTTTGATGACAAACAGTTTGATTTTGATATCCCGTTTAATACAAAAATAACAAAAACAATAAACATTGATTTGTTTTGTTTTTTTTCGAAATAGACAATAATTAATTTTAATATTAAGTTTAATAAAACAAATATATTAAAATCTGTAATTAATTAAACCATTATTTTAATATTATTTATTTTTTTATTATAATTAAAAAATTATATTATAATTCTAATTAAATAATATAATTATATATATAATTATATTATAATATAATAATAAAATGATTTAATAGTAGGAATAATAGTAATAAAATAATATATAAAATAAAAAATTTAATAATATTAAATAATAATAAAATAATAAAATTAGTATAATAAAATATTACTATAATAATAATAATCAACCCAATCATAACTTTATATTTTTAAATTAAAAACTCGGATAACACACATCATTATCCAGGCAATAAAACAGTCTTTCAAATGCTGTTTTCAACAACATATTTTTTGATCACATTTGACGAAGTTTCGAAAAAAATCTTTCGATGCCGACTGTTGTAGGAAATACACATACAAAAATATGGACCACACTCATCAAATTGTCGAGTTTTAAATTTTCAAGAACTCATAAAGAGTTTTAAATTTTCAAGAACATCATAAAGATCTAAAAATGACAAACGCAAAGGTTGTCCAGTAACATTTTTTAATTTGCGATGAAGTGGACACTTTGAATCTTTAATGTTGTTACACATCTGGTCTAGTTCTTCTTGAGTTCTATCCCAGATGTAGTCAGATAGTTTGTCAATTTCAATTTCGATTTTTTCGTTCAATATCTTTCTGTTTTTAAATACATAATTAGGTATATCAGACGTTTTAACCATTTCGTCCGGAGAATAGAACAAATCTACCAACTCCAAATAAAAAGTGTGATTATCTTTTTTCACGAAAAGCTTTTTCATCAACAATCCCCTCTTCGTAGTTGGTGTATCTTCTTGCGTGTAACATTTTGCAGAATGGGACAAGTGATAAAACCTCAAAAGTGCTTGTGCTCTAAGTCTTCTGCAAATTCGTGTCATAAAGGGGTCATCTGGTACTAAAATATCTTTAATATCTTTAAATTCGATCAAATTCCCACCTTTTATTTCATCAAGCAATACATTGACATATTTTGTAAACATTTCCATGCGTTCAATGTACTCAAATAACAAACAATCACTTTCTTGTAAAGAAGATACAAGTACTTATAGTATTTTGAATACTTCCCTTGATTTAATGAAAATACTTTTGATGTAAGGTTCATCCATATTGAATAGAACTTTTCATGTATCTTCTGTGTTGGTTTTTTCAATAATATTACTTTGTTCGGCTTGTCCATGAGTGACACACACAACATTTTTCTTTTTCGTAGGTGTAATTTTTAATACTCTTCCTTCTACGAATGTGATGTGATTCTTTTCAAACTCGGTCATAAGATTCTGAAGCCCTTCTGGTATTTTTATATATCGACTCACATCTTCATAGTTATTTGTAATATCATTGAGATTTTTGTATATGTAACACCACCTCGTATCAGAGTAAGTTGTGTGGAATCCATGACCAATACTACATTTATCACAATAATCTACAAGTCTGTTTTTACGACAAAACCATTGTGCGAAGACTTTTACCATTTTGATCTCAACATCATTTTCAAGTGATTCTCCCATCAAATTTACTCTGTGAGCTGCACACCAAAAATTTTTCATTTCGTTGTCTATTAAAGTACGTTCTGTTGGATCATTTACACCGATCAATTTATTCATTTCAACTGTAATTCCGCCATCTAATCCAGCACAACTTGCAGCTCCATCAGTAGTACAATTCACTATTCTATAAGTGTTCAAACCCAATTTTTCAATTTTTTCTAATGATTCATTTAGCAAGTGTTTTTGCATCTGTTTGGCCTTTGTATTGATTCAATATAAGAGGCAGTGAATAACACTTTCTTCCTTTGACCAATCTTAACATCACACAGAATATTTCTTGATCATTTTTCGTAGTTGAGTCAATGGAAATTGCTAAACATTTATATTCACTACTTTCGGCCTTAAGTTTTTCTTTCTTTAATCCATTAGCTTTAAATATTTGTGCGTTAACAGTTCTCGAGCTTAATGCCAACGTTTTAGCTTTTTCGAGTGAATCTCTACTCAGTGTTGCGTGACTTACCAATGTACATCGTTTTAATGCTCGTATTTGTTCAGCACTCAGGTGAGCTTTAACCATTTCACCATTCATAACATAATCACATACTTTTCTTTGCATAACTTTGACAAATTTAAGTGTTTTAATATTGGTGATATTACACGTTCTTCTAAATAAATAATCAAGTGCTACAATATATCTTTCTATTACAAAATTGTTGTCATGATCATAAGAAAATCTTCTAACTGATTCTGAAACTGCATCTATATCAATTTCTTTATAATCGATTCTATCGTATACAAGAAAAGTTCCATCTTCAAAGGTGTACAACTCTTCCAATAAATGATTTTTAGTGTTTTCTGGTACACATTTGAACATTTCATGTGCATTTAATAGTTCATCTTCAACATCATCATCGTTATTATCGGTACTAATCTGCACCTGTTTTTCATGTTCTTCAAAGAATCTTTCAGCACTCAAAATTTCATCCATCAACAATTGGTCAATTTCACTCTCATCACTTTCTTTATTCAAAGTGTCATTTTTATTAATTTCATTTAAATTTGTCGATGGTATAGGTGTATTTGTAGAACTAAAAGTTTCTGTATCCGATTCAATATATATTTTCGTTTGATCAGAAACAATAGTAGATACATATTGGTCTTTTTTAGTAGTGACTTGGTTCATTTTTTCTTTTCCGTGTTTTTGATCAAAATCATCAAATTTTGTTTTGTATTTTTGCATCTTAGCAGGCCCATTAAAGAAACTTTCATAAAGATCATGTTTGTTAATTTTAATGGTTGGGTTGGCTTTTGAATATAAAAATATTTCGTGTGATTTGTTGTTCGCTTTTTTGAATAAAGCAATTATAGCACGGTCTTCATCAGTGAAAACATAATTATTATGGTGAATTTTTCGATTATCTTTGTATGAAGAATGGTCTTTTTCATTTTCGCTTAACAACCATTTGTGATGATGGAGGCAAAAAGAAAAGTTGACATCTTTGTAGATTGCACGAACATATACATAACTGAAATCTTTTTCATTTGGCAACACATTCAATTCATTAATAACATTCATTTGTTTAATTGATTTTTATTTTTTATTTAAATATGTATAATTCAAGTCAAAAATATAACTTCATGTCAATAAAATTTTATTAATAAAATGTTTTGTATTAAACGGGTTCATTTAAATGATTTTAGCAAGTTTTATTATATTAAAATACATTAAATATCTACAAGTTAAAATAATTTGACTTGTAGAAAAATTACTTGTCTATAACTTATTATATATCATTGAAATGTTTTTTCTATTTTTAATGATAATATTTTAATATAATTATAAAATATAAAAATAATTAATTATTAACTTGAAGTTATAATTTTTGAATAAGTCATATAAACTATAAACAAATAAAATATATTAATTAATTAATCATAAATATTATTCAAAAAATAACTTTTATTTAAATTGTATTAAACTATCAACTTTAATTTTAAAATAAAGATTAACATCATAATTTATTGTTGTTATAATTATTGTAACTTATATATATTTTAATAAATATATATTTATATTATATATATTATATATACATATTTATTATAATATTATTATTTTATATAAATATATTATTTGTGAATATTTTTTATAATAATATAGATAAATTATAACATAACTATGTCAGATATTTAATATAATATATAATTAGTTCATAGTTTTATAAAAACTAAAATATTTTTTCAATTTAAGTAATTTTTATTGTTTAAAATAATAAACTAAAATTTTAATTCAATTTGAATTATTTTGTTATTATTATTAATAAATTAATAATAGTTTAAAATTTATAATATATAGTTTGTTTGGTTTCGAGTATTTTATTTTAATATTTATATTTTTTTTTGCCGAAAATTTATTTTTACTGTCATCTATTTTGAGAAGATTTTTATTGTTACGTAATAACCCGATTTTTTGGGTAACTAATTTTTTCTTTCTTTACCATACAGCAATTTTGCCGAAAAAAATGATATTTCAGTCTTTTTTCTTGAAAGGGAATTTTTACCGAACCATGCTTATCAGAGTAGTAATTGTGATAGAATTTGTTGTAAATCGTTGTCCCAGTAGCCAACGGTGTCCTTTTTTCAATTTATACACAAATAATTATTAAAAACCCGGGAATTAAATAAAAATTGAAAAAATTAGGAAAAAAACTGAAACGACGATTTTTTATATTTGAACATGATCCCGATATTTTTCATTTTTCATTGACCAAAAAGCCCAGGACAACGTTGGCGGCGTAACAACGTTTTCCGACTAACTCTATTAATATAACAAATTATCCAATAACAATTAATTTCCAAAGAAAAGTATTTTAAAAAGTTAAAAAAAACAATCTTCTTATTTATTCTCCTCATTTCGACTCTTTGTTAAAAAACTTCCAATCAAATGGGTTTGAATAAAAATATTTTTTTTTAACAAATAACATAACCATTCCCAAATGTGATTTAATAAAAATGTTTATTTCATTATACATTTGTTAATCAATAAAATATGGGATATTTAAGGTAATTACACATTTAATAAAAATAACCAGTAAAAATAGGACAGTTTCTAAACTGTTACTTTAAAATAAACCAAATAATCGGGGATGATAGAAAAACCCAAAAATAGAAAAACAACCGAATCAAATAAGAAGAACAATGGATTTTTTGAAGTTCAATGATTTAATAACGCTTTTTGATCTCAAAGTGGCAATTCCACTGTTCATTTAATGCAAACGATCAAGCAAAGCGAGTTACTTCATAAAGCCCTTCAATATCCATTTGACACTCATCTCAGAGAGTATAAATTTGTCATTCATTCAGCTAGCAATTGTGAGAATGGGGACATTTCTTTGAGGAATCAAATTATTACTAAGATGGATATGTATTTACATGGTTTGGTAGAAGAAGAAGAGATGTACCGTACATTATGTTTAGTGCAGTACTTAATAGAACACAAACAATTTGAAAAGCGAATCTGTTATACTAAATTCTATGGGATATTTCAAATCCTTATCTTTATCTTTGTTTGTTATTTTATTATTTAATAATTATTTAATAATTATCATATAACATTTCTGATCATTAGAGTTTTAAGAAAATCACCACGAAAAATTTGGTCTTTTTAAAGGCAGTCGAGTTGGCGTATCAGTGGTCTCAAAGAAAAGAAACGGAAATTTACATTCATATCTTCAGAAAAATTTGTGTAAAACTTGACGACTGTAAAAATCTGAGGGCACAAGAACTTATCCAGTCGTGTATTTGTTGTAGTGTCGAGAAAAGTCCAGTGGCACTCTACCAACAGAGTGAAGACTGTGTCGATAAACTCAAACCGTCATTCTTAAAAACATTGAAGTTCCGCACATTCAATAAATTGTACAAAGATAGCGATCTCAACTACTCAGAGTTGAGTGAGTATTAATCATTAGTTTTATTTTTCTCTGTTTTTTGATATAAAAAAACTAATAGATAATCATGTTATTTAAAAACCATTTTTATAATAACATTTAGTTACAATGAATAGAAATTATTATATCGAAATAAATAAATAGTTTTATTACAAAAAATAGTTTAATTACAACTATACTTACCCAAAACGCAAACGTTATCCACTTTTATTCAAAAACTCAAATTTATTATAATTGCGTTATGAATGTTCTAATAACACGGGATATTAATAAAATTATAACTTTTTATTTATAATCGGCAAATAATAAACTCAGTTACAGATAATAAAGTACGAAAAAAAGTTTTTCGACGAGGTAATCCACAAAAAGAGCATTTTTTATCTTACCAGTAATAACAAAGCAATAATAAAATAATTATTTTACATTAGTAAATTCTTGTTCTTTTGAAATAATGCTCCTTTTGATGAAGTTATGACCATTTTGATAGCCACGTTGTACTTCCATTTTTATATCGGCGGTGTGTTATATCGAACACCAACTATTCAAAATTCCTCTTAATAATGATTAAAATACACAGAAACAAACCAGAAATTACAAAATGCCAAAAAGAAAGAGTCAGTCATACTGACTCATACTCATCCCCACGTGTAAGATCAATAAAAGGGTCTCTTGACAACTTTTAAAACATCGGTAAAATGGCAATCAAAGTCGGAATTAATGGTTTTGGAAGAATTGGCAGATTAGTTGCAAGAGTGATTCTTACTCGCCCCGAGTTTGAATTGGTTGCTTTGAACGACCCATTCATGGATCCAAAATACATGGAATACATGCTCAAGTATGATACAGTCCATGGAAAGTTCCCAGGTACCGTTGCTGTTGAGGAAGGAAACTTGGTAGTTGATGGACACAAGATCATTGTCAGAGCTGAGAAAGACCCAGCTCAAATTGGATGGGGTAAACTCGGTGTAGACTATGTCGTTGAATCTACTGGTGTCTTCACCACTATTCCAAAGTGTGAAGCTCACCTTAAGGGAGGAGCCAAGAAGGTCATCATCTCCGCACCATCTGCTGATGCACCAATGTTTGTCGTTGGTGTCAACACAGAAGCCTACAAACCAGAGATGAATGTATTGTCTAATGCTTCATGCACTACTAACTGCCTTGCTCCACTCGCTAAGATCATCAACAACGAATTCGGAATCATTGAAGGTCTTATGACAACCATCCACTCAACTACTGCTACTCAAAAGACCGTCGATGGTCCATCTGGAAAGGATTGGAGAGCCGGCAGATGTGCTGCTCATAACATCATTCCAGCTACTACTGGTGCTGCCAAGGCTGTAGGAAAGGTCATTCCATCATTGAACGGAAAGCTCACTGGTATGTCATTCAGAGTTGGAACTCCAGACGTCTCATGTGTCGATTTGACTGTCAGAACCGAGAAAGAAGTTTCAATTGAAAAGATCAACGCCGCTATCACTAAATACGCTGAAGGCGAACTCAAGGGAATTATGGGTATTACACACGATTTGGTCGTCTCATCAGACTTCATTCATGATAACAGAAGCTCCATCTTCGATGCTGCTGCTACCATCATCTTGAACCCACACTTCTGCAAGCTCATCTCATGGTACGACAACGAGTGGGGATATTCTACAAGACTCGTTGATCTCATCCAGATCATCAGCAAAGTTCATTAAGTAATTTAGCACTACTTCGTTTGATGGTTTATTAAATTTATTAAAAACTATTATGTTGTAATTAAAATAAAAGAACAACAATTATCTTTTTTTGGAAATTAGAATTTTTTGTTTTTAATGAATTATAATTTAACTACTTTATAAACTGTTACAAAGCTTCTTGTTTTTAGTAAAGTTAATTAGTATTGAAAATTGTTTTAACTTATTTATTGAAACTGTAAAAGTAGTTTTGTCTAAATATCTCATATCAATTACTATTAAAAATAATGTAATTAAAAAAGTTTTATTCAGTGAACTTTGGTGTTGTGCACTTTCCAAAGAAAATTGGGAGTGAGTGTGGATCAACAATCACAAAGAAGAACGGCTTGTTGATGATCACATTCAATGGAATTTCAATGTTTATTGAAGACAACAATTCCATTACAATTGCCGTTGCCGCTGTTGCCACAGTGCCCTTTTCGTCGACTTTTATGATTGCTTTGTGAATTACATCAGAGACAACAATTCCAGTGTCTGTGACGCCTTTGAAGTCAGCCTGTGGTGTGAATGGGATTGTCAAGCCAAGATTGATCAAGTCTTTCTTGACAGAACCGCCCCACTCGATTGAATACTTTGGCATTTTCAACAATCTTTTCTTTGATGGAGCATTGAAAACGTCGCTGACAATGTTGTGGACATTCTTGTACTCTTTTGCTTGTTCGAAAGCGGCCATGTTTTTTGGCATGACCACAACCATCGAAAAGTTAGCATTGTATGGGACTTTCACTGCTGTGTATTCTTCATTGAAAACAGCTTGAAACTTGTCGTTGATTTCCATTGCAGCAACAACACCAACATCTTTGAAATTGAGTTCAGCTGTCTCGAAAGGTGTTGTCCACTCCCCTTTGAAATAAATTGTGTTGACAAGAACAGCAATTGTGTCGCTTGTAACAGACCCAGACGACAACAGTTCTGTTATCAACCCACCAGTCTTTTCCATCACCACAGCGTTGATTTGTGCACGTGCACTTTCTGGGCTATTTGAGAAATCAACCTTGTCAACAACAGCATCAAGCTTCTTCACAGCAGCAATGTACGCATCTTTGAATTGAACACTTTGCTCTGCCCATATCGAGTTGAACAGTTCATACTTCGTTGTGTTGTTTTCCTTGGGAGGTGCTGCAATCAATGCAATCAACTCATACAATTCGGGGGTGTCCAATTTGTCAAAGCCAAACACCTTCTCTAGCTGCTTCTTCGTTTCTGCCATCGAACCAACATACAACAACAGAAACGCCACAAAGATCGAGTGCGTTGAAAACACAATGTCTTTGGCATCTACTTCAGTCTCGTAGAAATTTAAGCACAAATCATACAGCGCTCGTTGGAGCACCTCAATGGACGACATTGGAAGTGTTCTGATTTTGTCTTTGGTTAAATAAAGTGATGTCTATTTTTGTTATCATTATTAACTAAAATACATTCATATAATTATAATATAGGATTTGTTTTTCAAATAGAAAAATTGTTTTTTGTGTTTTGACTCAAGAATTTGAAGTGGCAATTATAATATTAAATTACAACATAAAATAAAATGTTTAATTAAAACACTTTCTTTAATACAATGTTCGTTTTATATTTCAAACAAAAACGCTCTTCGTTGTTTGTTGTAACTTGGTTTAGTTGAATTTTACGTCTTTTGATCAATTTGATAATCATTCTCATTGTTATTAACATGTTTATGTAATTGTGCTTTTTAAAATTGAATTTGATTTATCAATTAAATACGGAATTTGCAATAAATTATATTATTTCCCAAACACTAAACAACTTTTAAAATCTTAATTAAACTTTTAGTAATAATTGTTATTATAATTGAATAAATATCTAACAAGATATAACATTTGTTTTATTACAAATTTCTAAATATTTGAATGATATTTTAACTCAGAAAAATATATTTGAGAATTAAAAAAACTAAAAAAGAACTACAAATTTATCTCTCAAATAGTTTCCAAAAATAGAAGATTGTTGTGTTATACATTATAGTACAATTAATCATATTAAAAGCCATACAATCCAGAGCAGAAGCATTAGAAAAAGACCGGCGAACAGTCCAAACCTTCCAAACACGTGTTCGATTTGTTCAACAACAATCCCATTTCTGAGGGATTCTATATCCTCGGCATAAAACCTTAGAATGCCACTTAAAATGTTTAAAATATTAAGACTGTGCTTCCCTCTTCTTTCCACTTTCTTCACGAAATCGAAAGAAAGCGAAGTTTCGAGGAGTAAAAAGGCATTTGAAACTGGAAAAGACTAAGTTGCGATGGCGTCGGTGTTAGTCACAGCGATTGTGATAGCGGGTATGCTTACCTTTGGTACCTGCACTGTTGTCTTCCAGAAGTTGATTTTCTCGATAGAGGGTGAAGGTCTTGCGGGTGATGTTCACGCCTTTGAGAAGCCATGGTTCCAGACTGAGATGATGTTTGTAGGGATGTTTGGGTGTTTGTTTGTGTTTGAAGGAAAACACTTGTTCATGCACTTCTGGAGAAAGAAACATCCAATCGTTGAAGACGCAAAAGAGAGTGCTGAGAGTGGAAAGCCAACTAACAAACAAAGTCCAATCTACACTTATTTGATTGTTGCAATTCCAGCATGTTGCGATTTGTTGGCAACTGCGCTCAGTAACGTTGGATTGCTTTGGATTCCAGCTTCAATTTGGCAAATGTTGAGAGGGTCTATGACCATCTTCTCTGCCATCTTCACAAAAGTCTTCTTGAGAAGACAAGTACGTGCGTATCAGTGGGTTGGTGTTGCATTTGTCGCATTTGCACTTGTGGTTGTTGCATTCTCGTGCTTGATGGCGCCCGTCAAAGACCCAATTGTTGTAGAAGATGTGTATGGTGATGCCAGTGAAAAGGGATCTGTCGAGACATACTTGATGGTCATTGGTATTTGCCTTGTTATTGTCGCTCAAGTCATCCAAGCGTCACAAATTGTCATCGAAGAGTTCTTGTTGAAGAATGCTGCTGTTGATCCAATTCTTATTGTTGGGTTGGAAGGGATGTGGGGTGGACTCATCTGTTCAGGAATCTGCTTGATGCTTGTTCAATACGCAATCCCACCAAGTGCTGGGTCTGGTGTCTACGAGTCGACCACCGACACGTTCTACATGTTGGTGAAATCGCCACAGATTCTTGGGTTGTGCATAGTCTACTCAATTGTCATTTTGGCATACAACTTGTTTGGTATGTTTGTCACACTTGTCTCATCTGCTGTCATCCGTACTATTCTCGAGGGGTTGAGAACTGCTTGCATTTGGATTGTTCAGCTCATCATTGGCTGCTTTGTCGACGACACATCGCCTCTTGGAGAGTCATGGAACGACTGGTCTTACTTGCAATTGGCTGGGTTCTTCTTCTTGCTCGAAGGTCTCTTCTTATACAACGGCTACTTGCGTATCGCCGCTCCATTCTTCGATTATTCTAACCTTGACGCTGCTAAAACCACGGAAGTGATCGATGATAAGAAGCCACTTCTTGGAGAAGAGGAGAAGTAAGAGAGATACTTCGATTGATTTCATTCAATTTTATTTGGTTTTTTGTCTGTTTGGTTTTATTCATTGCTTCAACAGTAGAAATGTATTTAAAAATTATTGAATAAAATAAATATCATTGTTTAATTCAATTTTATTAATTTTACTAAACGAAAACAGGCACAAAAATGGCATCTACAAAATAAACTCGAAACGAAGTGATGGCTGGTGAGTACCCATCGCCCGGGGACATGGTCGACAAACGGTATGATGTTCGTGTACCGAGTCGCACTGAGAAAATTGATCGGTCTAGTCTCCCCCTTTTCACATCATACGACGAGTTGTTTGCAGCCGAATTTCCAAAACGGAAGTTTGCAGTCGAGGAGTTAGAAGGAAAGGGACGTGGGATAGTTGCCACGTGGTCAATCAAAAAAGGGGAGATGGTAATGCGTGAGCGCGCGTCGACAGTATTCTTTGGTGAAGAGCCAGAGGATCCCAACATTGATTCCACCTATTTTCTGATCAAAAACTTGTATGAAGGAAATGCGACCATTACGCCATCATTTGCTACTGAATTGGGACAGAACCCCAGTCGGATTTCTGAATTTGAAGAACACGTCCAGTTCATGTTAAATGATTTTAAAGAGAAAGGAAAGGGGTTCAAATATGAAGTTAAAGAAGACGAGCTGAGAAAGATAGTGAATGGCATTCATACGAATTCATTTTCATTTGATTTTCAAGACGGATTTGCGGTGTTTATGGGGTGCAGTTTGGTGAATCACTCATGCCAAGAAAACATGGGGTGGCATACTGTTGGCGATGAGATGATATTTACTGCTCTTGAAGATATCGAACAAGGTACGGAATTGACGATTTCATATTCATTTCCAAATTTGAATGCGAAGAGAATGAAGTACTATGAAGATAACTATGGGTTTGTGTGCGACTGTAAATTGTGTGAGGGGGGAATAGACTCGTGGAGGGTCTTTGAATGCACACATTGTGGCGGAAAGATATATCCAGACGTGAATGGGTGGTCGTGCCATTCATGCTCGAAAATATGTACAAAAGAAGAGATCTATTTCTTCGAAGCAGAGGAGAAGTCTATTTTAGAATTTAAGTTTGAAAGTCGGTTCAGGTGGTTATACAGACCAATGAGAAAGATGAGCCCCTACCATTTGGTCTTATTTAAAGCTCTCAGAAATTATTTCATGACTAACGCGTGTCCAAATCCAGTTCAACTCGCAGAGAATATTTTGATACCAGTCGCAGAATTCCACAGAGACTTGTCACATGGAAGACTGTACGCTGCTGTCATGGAGCAATACGCGATGGTGTTGTTGAAGTACGCATTGTTGATGACAGATAACGAGGATTGGTGCAAAAGAAAGGCACTTGAATGCCTCAGAAAAGCGTATGATTATAGGTGCGAAATTGGGATGGGCATAACTGGATACGCCGCTGCCATTTATTTGGAATATCTGGGCTTTTTCGAGGGGGATAAGATCAAGGGGGACATCGTTCATTATGAGGAATATTAACTGTGCTTTTTCTTTTTCATTTTTTTAAATAAATTTTGGTTCACGTTCAATTGAATTTGGAGTTTTCAAAAACTTTTTTTGTCAATTATAATATGGTTTATATATATTATATTAATTAGTTAAATTATTTGAATTATATTATTTTAGTTTTGTACAATACATATATAGTAAATTCCAATAATATAATAATTATTTAAAAAAAAAAAATACTTGTATAAAACTGTCGTTTAACATTTTATTATTATGAAATTATAATTAAAATTAAAAAAATTAATCTTAAAATAAATTATTTTAAATTTTTGAGAAATATTATAAAATGCTATCATTTTGGATTGATCTATATTGCATTTTTTGTTTATTAAGAGAAAGGATGGACATGGGGACGAAGGACGGGAATATAGGCCGAAGGACGTCCTTTGTGGTTTAGGGATGTCCTCCCGCTATAAAGGGCGTCCTTTATGTGTATATGGTTTTTTTTCTATTATTTTCGTGTCCGCGGCATTTTTTATTCATTATCGAAACTATATAACAAAGTATATTTTTATTATAAATATACAATCAAAAAATATAATTATTTCCAAAAATAAATTAATTCAAAGACAAAAACTATTTAAAAAGTAATTTTGTTATATATTAATGGTTTATAATAATTTATCATTTTTTTTTCATTTTACCATTGAGTTTTCTTTGAAAAACTAATTAAATTTGCATATTTTATAAAAACCATTAATTTATAACGAAATTACTTGTTGTTTAACATTTGTCTTTGAATTTATTTATTTTTGGAAATAATTATATTTTATAATAGTAAATTCATAGTAATATTATAACTCATTATATAGTTATTAAAAATGCCGCGGACACGAAAATAATAGAAAGGACACCATATACACATAAAGGACGCCCTTTATAGCGGGAGGACATCCCTAAACCACAAAGGACGTCCTTCGGCCTATATTCCCGTCCTTCGTCCCCATGTCCGTCCTTTCTCTTTATTGATTTTTTTAATATTTAACCATTACTTTTATGTTATAAAAAAAATATTTTATTAATATTTTTAATAAAATAAATTAATATATCATTGCATGTATAGTATAATTTAAACTTTTATTTTAAAAAATTCTTATATATTTATTTTATTTATTAAGTTTAAAAATTTAAATATAATATATAATTGGTTGATTTTTTTTAAACATCAGTCTTAATAGTTCTAAAACTTCTGAGCTTTTTATTGTTAACTGCATTTTTATTTATCTGAAATAACATTTCTTTATTATAATATAATTTATAGTTTAAAACCCGATAAAAATAGTAAAAAAGAAAACGGCGACAATATCGAACAAAAATTGCCGTTTTATTTTTAATAAAATGATAAACTTTTTCAAAATCAATAAAATTGGTTAAGTCAATGGAAGTTTGGATTCTCCACCTCACAAATGCCTTTAGTTATAATCTTTTTAATTTAATAGATATTATAAACTATAATAAAACCATACTAAACAATAGAACAAAGATATGCGATAAAGGATTCACATTCCCCTTTCTAGCAACAACCACCAAATTAATACTCATAGAATATCTTAAGTGGTCTTAAACAAATCATAAAAATTAACGAGTTTAGTCAAACTTTTAAGTAAAGTGACTTTGCAAATCAAAAGTTCACATTTGGTTCTATAACTTAATTGATCAAATAAACCCATTATTTTACTTAAAACTAATTCTATAATACACATAATTCATATCTAATTCCCAAAAGCGAAATGTATCCAAATTAAGAAGAAAAAAAAAGGCAGACAAAGTCTTACTGTCTAAAGAGTGTTAAAAGGAAAGTGCAGACGAACTTCAATTCCCATAAAACAAACGATGAACGACCCAATCACTATACCATTATGGGACGGGAAACAAATCGTCGAGAAGGTTGTGACGTATTACATCCACAACGACAAGCATATTCTCCAAATAGGACACAAAACTCCAATTATCCTTGAGAGTACTTTAATGCGACTCAATCCAAAAGACAAAGGCTTGTCTCCAGAGCAAATACCTCTCAGTTTCTGTTTGATCTACGATGATACCAAGACATTTGTCTTTCAATCGAAGACAGTCTATCGCTCATGGGTAAACAAGATATCAGTGTCCACATTAAACATTGGGGTCTTTGGGTTTCCTCTCTCCGTTGGTATTAAGAAGTCTGGATGGTATATCCCCAATCCAATATACAGAAGTGTTCAGTATTTGCGAAAGAACGACGGTGTGAATACGCAGGGCATTTTCCGGATGACTGCGGGGATGGAACAACTTGAGAAATTGCGTGCTATTGTCGATGACGATGAAGACTTGCGATTTGAGAGTCGAGACGACGACTGTATAGTTGCTGCGTCCTTTTTAAAGTATTATTTAAGGACTTTACCAGACTCAGTGATACCGTCTCGTTACTTATTAGACTTCATTAATCTTCCAAAACAACGAATGATCAATAACAAATTCATCATGTCATTACCCGAAGAGAATCAGAATGTGTTGTGGTACATCTTTTCATTTTTGGATGAGGTCGTCCAGAAGAAGCACATCAACAAAATGAATGAATACAATATGGCCACATGCATTTGTCTTGTACTGTGCTCGTGTCCGGAACAAGATGTTCTTGTCACTGGAAAGCTGATAGAGTCGGTTATGTATTTGTTAAATCATTTCAACGAAATGTTCGCGGACGTCGCGCTGAGGAACTGCGACAAAATGTCTGAGCCGGAAATGCCCGCGTTTTTTAATCCACATATCGACGTCGCTGACTTCAAGAATTCAGTCAAGAGCGAGTTAAAGAAGAGAAATCATAGAAGATCTTTAACATCGACTCTTCCACTCAACCCAAATACTTTTGAAGGAAGACACACACCACAAACACCAAAGTCGGTTGAGTATAAATGTGTCCTTAAAACACTAACGCCACGAGGGTCGAGTGAGTTTAAGACACATCGACTCAACATTACACAAACCAATCCACAGTTACTCTCAAAGAACCAACCATTCATTATGTCCTCAGAAACAAGAAGTGTCATCGTTGGCACACCAAGATTTAAGAACGAAGTCTGTCTGCGATATGATGTAGAAAATTGAGTAAGAGTATGTAGTAATTCCTCTGTTTATTCTGTTTATTTTTATAGTTTGTTTGTATTTTAAATATAGTTTTACCGTCAATAATTCAAAAAAAAAGATTTTTAAAAAAATTCAAAAAAGCGATTTTTTATTTGCGTCGGCAAATAAAAAACAAATAATTTGTTGTTTATTGTAAAAAATCAAAAAGTGGAATTTTTGAAATTTTATTTCGATTATTTATCATTTTGCTTGAAATTGAAAAAGGAAAGATTATTTTAGTTTTAAATACCATTCCTTAAATTAGCAAATATTATTATTATAAATTACTAATAAAATATTTTTTTATTATCTAATTTAGTTTATTTTTTTTATCAAAAGAAAACAAAAGATTCTGACATTTTGAATTTTGATTAGACATCAATTTTGAATGGTTAAAAACAAACTTATATTTTTTTAGTATATTTTATTTAAATTAATATATAAATTAATTAAAAATACAAATAAAATAAAAATAAAAATAACTTGGTTTTTATAATAAAAATAACATGAAAATAAGAAAAGCATTTCAAAAGATTGGAAAAAACTTGGAATGTGACAATAAGACAATTAACTAATACACAATAGTAAAATAACCAGTAAAGAAACTAAATACACCTGTTGAAAAGCTGTTGAACAAAACATCTTCTTGAGATTAAACCGAAACTAAAAAATTACGATGAGTCTAGAACGTGTGAAGCAATTGATCGAGGAGAACCGTCGTATAGTAGCGATGAAAGAGTCGGACTCTGACAGTGCCAAAAACGCGGTTTTTTATCTTCGCAAGGAGCGCGACATCTTCAAGAACATCAACGAGCAGTTCCGTCTTATTCTCCAAGCAAAAACAGATACATACCAACAAACCAAAGCACGTCTTCAGAAATTTCAAGAAGAATCCCAACGAGTGATACGAGAGGCTGAAGTGTCAAAATCGCTGGGGTGTTTTTGTGAGGAGGACAAGTCATACAAAGAAATGCTATTGGAAAAGAAGGAGGAACAGACAAGGGAATTGGAGAAAGTTGTGAAGGAAGGAACGGAACTCTTTGACGTGCAGATGAAAACACTCACACAAATCTACGACAAGGGATTCACTGAAATCGAGAAATTGAAAAACACCATTTACAGGGGAATCCTCCCACGTCAGAGAAGAAGCTCAGTTGACGAAACTGGTCGACAAAAGCTTGTTACATACGGAATCAAAGCGCGAGAAATGAAGAGCGTGAGAGACGTCGATTCAACGTACTTGGAATTTTTGCAGTCACAGCAACACATCCCAACCAACAAAATAGTGAAGAAAATCCGACTCACATCTTCCATGGAGCACCGCCTTTCCACGGAGTCAAAGTCCATCGAACGTAAAAATTCCTCAGAAGAAGGCAGTGGAGAGAATACCAATGTTGTTGTTGTGCCCAAAAAGGAAGAGGAGGCAAAACCACTCTTTATTCTACCTAACACAAACATCCAGCCACTTACCGATGTAATGAAAGAGTATTGGGGATATTTCCCCTTAAAAGACGACTTTGTTGCCGCACAGTGTGTTGATGTTACTGGGAAGTGGAAACGGCGTAAAGGTAAAAACACCACCGGGACGTTTCTGTTTCCTAAAGAGCCCTGGTGGAAGGTGCACTTCGGTTCTGACGAGGGAAAAGTCTCCAAGTGGATAGGAGTTGATAGAGAACACGGTGTTGTGCTGTTACTCATCAAAGAAATGGATAAACTGCCTCTTGAGTTTGGGTGGTGTTCTGAGACGACTGGTAATGTGTGTGCGTTGATTCGATGGAATGGAGGAGAGAAGCGAGAAGTTATTCCGTTTGGTTATGCCTATCCGGACGACGGCAAATGCACCAAACAGCGCGCAAGCAAAATTGTGAGCGGACTATTTTGTGCTGCGATTTCGATGATACAATTTGATGTGGCGATTAATGAAGAGATGTGTCTGTTTGATGATCTGATAACACAGCGACAAGTGAGCGCGTTTGTGATCAGTTCTGGGAAAGAGGGGTGCAACTGGCGACAGATGGGAGAACGGAGAGAATTTTCAAACGACTTTTTAGAGTTTTTGGCGGTCTTGGGGGATGGCGTCGAGTTGCGAGGATTTCCGGGGTATGCTGGAGGGTTGGACACGAAGGAGAATGGCGATGGGAGGTATAGTGTTTATGTGAGAAAGGACTGTTTTGAGGTGATGTACAAAGTCGGCCCAATGGTGCCGCCACAGAAGTGTTTTGAGTTGTTCATGCAAGAGGCTGTTATCATACTATTCAAGGAGAATAGTGACCGAATTGATATGAACTCAATCAAGTCGATCCGAACGCAGGTTGTCATTATAGTTACAAAGGCGAATGGAGGGAATTACCGAGTTGAAATGTGGACGAAAGAAGACTCCGAAGTAGTGTCTGATGATTTTCCTAGCGAGCAGTATTTAGTTGGGAATAAATATTTGAGAGAGTTCATCTTCACGTTGGTGATCAACGCCGTGTGTGCTTCGAATGTGAGTGGCGTGCTTGCTAGTGAAAAGACGAACGAGAGGACAAAGATACTCGAAGGCGTGTATAAGAGGGTTGTTGATAAGAAGAAATAAATTTCATTAGTGTTGTTTGTTTGTTCGAGTGCCGATTTATTCGAGACAATACACAGGGAACGTTGATCTATGAACAATCACTTTCGAATAAATGTTCGTATTCTGAATCGTTTCAGGTGCAGAATAATGTGTACGTGTGGCATTTTCTAAGTCGTGGTGTGCGGAATAGTTTTTCTTGGACGTTTTTTAGGGTTTTTCTTCGGATTGGTGCCAATTTGAAGAAAAGAGAACGAGAAAAAGGGCGTTTGCAGAATGGACACAAAGGTTTTGTCGAGTCCAAAAACCACAGGAATGTCTGGTTCCCTAAGTCGCAGCAAGGTTCAATTTTATTTGCTATTTCATTGTAAAAATAGGACTGTTATTGCAAAAACAACTTGAAAGTGGACTTTTCAAAGTTCAAAACGTTTTGAGTGCTTTTTATAGTTTAAACAAGTTTTTCATATTGACCAAATACGAAACACTAAAGATTTTTTGTCAGCAGCGAAAAAAAGTAATTTTGAACTACCTTTTCAACTCTAATTATGCTTAATCGTACTATATATCAATACAATTAAATCATTGAAATATAGTACAAATGTACGATTTAAGATAATAGAATCGGTTCAAGGGCTATAGAAGTTATTCAAATTTAGTGTAACTTAAAATACGACAGAATTATAGTTAAAATAATTATATGAATAAACGATTTTTTGATCCCGAAATGGATCAATGACAGTTTTGAAAATGAAATCCAAAATGTTTTTACTTTTTATAACAACAATTTGGTCACAATCCCGGTCTTTTGCAAATACCCAATCGAATTCCAACAATCATATTTTTACATTGTTATTTTTGGCTAAAATGCCAAGAAATCGGCCTTCGATCGCATAGTTACCGATTAATTTTTGTATTATATAGTTATAGTTTAAATGGAAGTTCCAAATTATTGCACCAAAATAAAACTAATAACATTACTAGTAAAAATGACAAAAGATTAGAAGTGAAACTTCAATAGTTAGAATGCTTTGGTAATCGAAAAACAAAAGAGACTACCATTTATGATCAACTCAAATATCAAATAAAAAACCCATTTTTGTGTTCAAAAATATAATGAAAAAAGAAATAATATGAAAAATTTTAAAAAAAGGAAATATTAAGTAAATGTCTCCAACTCATCAATTAAATATACCTGACAAAACGAGTATCTAAATAGGGAAAGCCCAAGTTTTTTTTTGGGAAAACAAGTTTGAAAGACAAAAGGGTGATTCGTTTTAAGTGACAAGAATATCGAGGAAACAAGATTAGGTATTTGTTCTATCACAACCAGTTATTCCCGATATTCAGCCACTAAAACATTCAAGAGAGAAGAGACTTTTAATAACTTTTTGCAAGAAAAAAGGAAGAAGTAATTGAGGAAATATGAACAATCGAAGACAAATAAAGGAATGTATTCCAAAATGAATAATTAGGACTAGCTCTCTATTGATAGAAAGCGTCAAGAATAATTACTTTTAATACCAAGAGGAGGGGGATGCCGAAAGAAATGATGAGAAATTAATTGCCTGATTTTATGATTTAACACAAAACATTTTTTTCGAAAAAGGATTGTTGCAAAAATTCGGGCTTTTGAAAGGCGACATCCACCCGAATACGCCATAAATTCTACAAAAAGGTGTGTTTTGTGTCTCTGAAGATTTGGCAGTCGCTGCATCTTTGTTTCGTGGGGAACTCTGATCGTCACAAGTTTGATGAACTCCAAACGAGCTCGTTCGTCTCCTCAAGAGGCAGACTCGAAGAGCGAGACAACAACAAAAAAGAAGAAAAACACCAACTTGTGGACGAAAGAGGAGGATGCGCTTCTTTTAGCAACAGTCGAGATGTGTAAGAAAAACGATTGGAAGTCTGTTGCTGAGAACATCCCCAATCGATCCCGGAAACAATGTCGAGAGAGGTACTTTAATTATTTATTTGACTGTGGTCCTAAAAGTCCGTGGACGCCGGAAGAGGATAGCATCATATTAAAAAAGCAAAAAGAGGTAGGAAATAAGTGGACAGAGATATCTCGACTCTTACCTGGGCGGTCCCCAAACTCGATTAAAAATAGGTTTTTCTCATACTTGGCCAAGTCGAAAAAAAAGACTGCCTTTCATGGTCATATTTTAGAAGCTCCTATTAATAATAACTTTACTATCGAAAACAAGACAAATGAAAAATTGCCAAGCGCGTTTTCTCCAGTCTTGGATAAGACCGCTTTTTCTTTTTTGTAATGTGTGGGATTTGTTGTGGATTGGTGTGGGAATACTTTAGCTATAATTATGGTTTATTTATAATTTATTTGTTATTCAAATTGACCAGTTTTAGTACAAAATTACTACAAAAATTCAAACTTTTTAGTAATGTTTTAAATGGTAAAAAATTATTAAAAATATTTTACTATTCTTTGTTTTCAAAAGGAAACTGACTTGTTTTGTTCATACAAAACTATAAATGAATCATACGATGAAATTATTAGATAATTTATTTATGTGGAGTAACAGTAATACAATATCGTGGGTTGTTCAACAACATGACTTGCTCTCTTCTATGGGAGCCAGTGTTGTTATTTTGTTGGTCTCATGCAGTGAAGACATGATCTTCTCATTTGAAGATATCGCTTCAGCAAGCTCATCGAACACTTCATCGATGTTCATCCCTGTCTTCGCACTCGTATAAAACCGCTTCACCTTTTTACCATATGCAAAGTCTTGTGTGACATCTTTGGAAACTTGTTTGCCATTGTCTGCTTTGTTGCCAACAATCACTATTTCACTGTTTGGTTGCTCGTCCAAATACTCCTCCACCCAATACGACAACTACATGTTATTGTTTATTAAATTAATTAATAGGCCGAATGAACCACAAACCCTGTCGTACGTTTCGACTTTATTTACATCATATACAATTACACAGCCATGTGTACCTCTGAAGTAACTCGACGTCACATTATGAAACCTCTCCTGTCCTGCTACTTGTCAAATAGAGTTCGTTTGATGTTATTGTTATCAATTCGATGAACAAATTGAAAGATTTTGAATACACAAACCGGTGTCCCCTAGTCATTAATCGATATTTCTTTTTTATAACAGTAATATCATGTGATAATAAACAACAAACATATTTGTAATTTGATTTTCTTGCCTCCAACAGTGGTTTCCTTGAATTCAAAATCTATGCCAACAGTCGACATCATCGAGTCTTCAAATACACCCTCACAATACCTCTTCACAATTGAAGTCTTACCCACTCCACTCTCACCAATCATGAGTATCTTCAGTGTCAGTGTATCAGTCATTGTTGTATTTCGTTCAAATTTTCGAGTTTTTACACAAAAATCCTTATTTGAAAAATTTTAAAAAGAAGACAGAGATCTTTGGTGAAGATCTTCGTGAAGAAAAATCTAAACTATTATTAACCTCACACTTTTAGTTTGGCATTTTCTTGTTTTAAAACAACTCTTGAAGTGTGAAAAGTTGTGTTGAGAAATACTAAATTTTAAAAACAAGTTGCTTTTCCTTTTTCGTTTTTTTAATGTCGTTTTTATATTATTTATGGTTTATTAAATTAGAAATACTACAATTGTTATTTTATTCTTTTTTTTAATTAAAAAACAAGAAAAGTTAACATTTACAATAATTATTTCTCGTTTTTTTTATAATTAATGCATTTTAAGAGCAAAAACTTAGGCAGATTATTACGGTGAATTTTCAAGATTTCCAGAAAAAAAATAATTATTTCATTGTATTGTTGTAAATATTTTTTACTATTTTTAATTAATGGTCAAATTATATTAATTTTTATTTTATTATTTTTAGAATAAAAAAAGGGTTTAATGAATTGTCGGCAAAATTAATATATTTTTACTATTAATTTGTTTTATTATTGAATTTTAACAATAAAAAATTAATAAATGCCATTAGTATTATCTTAATATGTTATTCAATAACATAACACTTAAAGTTTTCTGTGTGTTTTTGAATAAGCTATCAATTTATGTGTATATAAAAAGTTATTATATTGATTAATTTTTAAATTATAAGTTTTAATACTTGTTTTTATTAATTAATACATTTATTAATTGTTGTACCCGTATTATAAACTTTATTAGAAAACCATTATCTCTTGAAATTATATTATTTATTATATTTTATTAAAAAAAATAAAAAAACAATTTTTACTTTTTGAAAAAACATCTGTTTCTATTTACAGTTCACAATTGTCAATTATTATTCAATGTACTTTTTTATAATTATATTTAACTATAATTTTATTTTATAACAATCTAAATAAGCAAATAATCTATCTACATATATCTTCTACATCTACATATATATGTTTGTCTAACGCAAATATTTATTTATTTATTTCAGTTGTACGTTATTCTTGCGCTTCTTAATAGTATTTTACTAATAAGCAATATACTATAAATATAATTGTTTTTACTAATCTTAATAATAAAATGTGATGATTTTTCAATACGAACGATAGTTAATTTTTACTAACTATCGTTTTATTCAAGTTTAGTTCCTTAAGAAAAGATAAAATTTTAAATAAATTATCTCTTTTTTTGATGAATTAATTATTGTTTTAAATAGTAATTGTATAAACAGACAGACAAACAAGTTTTTGAAATTAAAAAAAGAGGTTAAATAATAAAATAGTTAAAAATTAGAAAAAAGTATTTGTTATTTAAATGAGATTTAAAATACTAATAAGAAATAAAAAGGTATTAGAAGTAATGGTATTTTAATGAAAACTTTTATATACTTTAATGTGTTATACGTTTAACATATATATCATATTTCGATAAGGTGTGATAAAAACATAAAAACATTAACAGTTGAAAATAATAGAGGTCTTGATAAATAATTAATAAAATATGTTAGACAGTATATCAAATCGATAATAAACAAAAACAATTGTAGAACAAACACAAAAATTTTAGAAAGACAACACCAAAGATATAAAGAAGTTGTTGAATGTTATTTTTGCGTGCAGACTAAGATACCGAGTTTATAATACAAACGGATTGTGTTTGGTTTAACAAGCCAAACGATATATGATAAATGATTTTGTACAAAAACACACATTATGTAAATTAGAATGAATGTTTAAAATAAGTTGATGTGTATATGTAATGTAAGTTACAAGCATTTTATAAAAAAAAGATATTTAAAAATGGATTAACAACACGTATCGGCGATAGATTGTAACATGTACATCAAGATAATAACAACTTTATATCAAATAATATAGTCATGGTAAAAAAGGTTGTTGATTGAATAAAGGTTCGGTTTATTTTTACATTTCAATAAAAGTTACACTTGTAGTGTACCTTTAATTGAAGTTGTTTTCCCTTCAAAGAGAACCAAAAAGAACATATTATTCAAATCAAAACGAAAAAAATAAATAGAAAATGAAGGGAAAGAAGATTTCTTCTCATTTATAAACAATAACAATAACAAAAAGATGATAAAAGTTTCAATTAGATGAATGCTCTAGTCAATGGCAAGAGTATTTTATGCTTTAAACAAGTACAAAGCCAATCATCAAAAGAAACGCTAAACCTATACGGTCAACACTTTCTGTATTAACAAAACGTAAACAAACTCCACAATTCCACCTTTTTGACAACCAGTATTGGTCCAACTAAAGCAAATAAAGCCATCGATAAACACATTGAATAAAGAGAAATAAAAAACAAACAATAATAAACAGTTGTGAAAAAAAGATTGTCGATGTAAGAATAATTAAGGAAAATACAGTTCTTACTTAAACGTGAGTAAATAATAAAATATCAGTTTAATTGATCTCTTAAATATGTAAAAATCAGAGTTGATCTGTAAAAACTTAAAGTTTACAAGATGTCATAATTTGATAATTGTATCAAAAAGACGTTTTTAAAACCATATTTTTATTATTTTAAACTTAAATAATACTATCAATGATTGAATAATAAAAATAAATTTCATTTTGAATTCCTTTTGAACTTGTGTACTTTAATTAACCTTACAGGTCAGCCCAACTTACATTGAAATTATCAGGAAATATTCAAAAAATAAATCAAACATAACACAAATTTTCAATCATTTTAAAATGCCTTCGTTTTTATCAATGTTTAAGTTGCTTCTTCTTCCAGGAAAGGCAACAGTAACTACGCAAACCTGTTCTCCCAAAAACTCTGGTATTCTGAAGGCATACTCCCTACAGTAAAAAATTGTGACATCATAAGTACTCTCCTTTTCTTTTCCAATTGGCTTTTTTACGTAACCACACATGTGAAAGGCCGAGGTGTTTTTGTTGTTTACGCAGGCAATTTTGAACGATTGGATGATTTCAACGACTCTTTTTGTGACCATACAAACAGACAACTCTTCCAACTTAGCAGCATCTATTGCACCGTCTTGATCCTTGCGTTTTAAAATTTCCATTTTTCTTCGCTTGGTAGCCTTCTTGACTTCATCTTCAACATCATCCTTTTGAGACATAACACCAATGGGGTACTTCATACCAACAAGCCGAGAAACTATCGAAGAACCCATTGTTCTCTATATGTCAATAACAATAAAAGAAAAGTAAACATGTTAACATGTTAACAAGACTCATAACGGCTTTGAATAATAATATTATTTCAATAATTTCTCTCATAATAAAAAACAAACTTTTTGAACGCCAAATATGACGATGTCCAGTGGTTGAGACAAGTGGCTGCTGTGTGGGCACAATAATAATAAAGCCACTTTATTTTCGAACAGCCACTTTCTAGCACCATCTTTAATGTGGCTAACACAGTTGTCTTGTATTAAAACCGCCCATTCTTGTGGGCAATTTTTTCTTCTTAATTACAGTTCTGGTTTAATACATCTTTCAAGCCACATCATGTATATGTCTTCCGTAATGAAGGATTTGCGTTGATATGCAATTTCAACATCGTCTCTGTCTATGTATCTGTCGATTTCATTTTTCATTGTCAAGTTTGATAGTATGATCATTGGTTTCAGCGTGGTGTTGTTGGCAAATATTCCTGCAATCAATGTTATGAGTTTTTGAGAGCGATCAACAGAGTAAGAGTTGGTGTGGTTGTAGTTGTAGTTGTCGTCAACATAAAAGTTGCTCCTTTTTGAGTCCACAAATGGACAATAACCACTTTCATCCATGTTGAAAAGGAGGGAAGGTTTAACTCCATTCAAGTGGACAACTCTTTCTCCCGCATATTGTTTGTCATTGTTCAACAAATCAGCTGCTCTAGTTTCATAGCTTCTTAACTCATCTTTACTCAGCTCAGCTCTCTCCTTATCCATTGGTTTTGCAATCTTCTTAATTAAACCCTCCCTTCTCAAACTGTTTGCGATGGTTCTTTTTGATACTTTCTTCCCAACAACTCCTTCTACAACATTTCCCATCTCTTTAGTGGTGATTGGTTTGGTGGTGTTTTGTCTTTCTCGAATTGTTTCCAACAACAACGGCATTCTCGATTGATTAATTTCTCGTTTTCTTCCAGACTTCCCTTCGACATCGTCATACAAGTTGTTGAGGCGGGCCGTCGAGGGTGAGACACCTAACACTTTGGCTTTTGTTTCAATTGAACCCTTTTCAAGCCATTTTTCACTTCTCAACAATTTCATTTGTTGTTGGAGTGTTAGACATTCCATGATTTCTGTTGCATGGGTTTCACAGAAATCCAAAAAATCACAGCCACGACCCGATTTTGTACTGTTGCGCAACACTCTCAAATCCAATTTTTTTGAAGCGGGTTTTCGCTGTGGTTTGGACATGATTATTGAGTTCTGAAACCAGCTGTATTTATCGTTTTTATTATAATTAATGGTTAATTTTATTAATAATTATAATTTGAAGTGTTTCAAAAAATTGTCTTTATTATTCCCCAACAATTTGACATCTAATCGCTATATATATTTATAAAATTTGGGTGATTTCCCGTTTCTTTACGTAACAATTGACTCTTTATTTTCTATTTTTCATGTTATCAAGAAAATAAATTTAAAAAATGATTGTGTGGCCATAACTTTGATACTCATGATTGTGTATAGTTTGCTGCCAATACAAACAACATTTGTAATAAAGAGGAGTACTCAAATTTAACAAAAATATAATATTTCAATTTCATTTTTTATTTTACTCAAAAAATGAAAGGGGGTGAAAAAAAGCACTTTCATTTTCTTTTTTTGATAAACAACAATGATTATGTATAATGTCATATCTATAATGTTCAATAAACAGCTCTTAATGTTATAAAATTGACAACTAATTGTCATACTGTCAACTATCGTTTTTATGATTATCCTTGTTTGTGTTCTATTTTTCGAACATGGTGAAAAAAAAGCACTTTCATTTTTTCAGAAACTATATTAACTATATTGAACTATACTTGTTTTTTGAATTAAAAAAAAACAATTTTCGATTCAAAATTGAAAATGTTATACATTTTATAAAATCAACACACAAAAATGTTGAGATTGAGAAGAAAACAATTAGTATTAAAAATACACTCCTTTGTTAAAAATAGTTTTATTTGCTCAAAAACATATTTTCAATATTATTTCAATGATGCGAAGAAATTTGTAACTTTTCTTGAAATACAAAAATAAACCGAACCTTTATTCAATCAACAACCATTTTTACTCAACAACCTTTTTACCATGACTATACATATAATTTTTATTCATTGTGATGAGTGTCTCTATCTTATTATGTATTATTGAAAACATATTTTATCACCTGGTATTTAAAGTGAAAACTGTTATTATAATTATAATTTAAAAATAATAAAAGTTGATTCTTTTTTTAATAAAATAAAAAAAATTAAAAAGAGGAATGCGACGAAAAAGCATTTTATTGATACAAATAACAAAGTTATGAATTAATATTTGGACTAAAATGATGTTGTTGACCCGATAATTATTATCGGGTTTTAAATGCTTGTATATCATGTATTATAATAATAATATTATTATTAACCAAAAAAAAACAGAATTACCATTTTCAATTAAAAAAATTTCTGTAAATACATTTTCATAACAATTTTTTTTAAAATGTCTTTTTTTTATTTTTTATGAATTTTCGCTTTCCCAGAAGTGAATTAAAGCCATAATAGAAATATAAAAATGAATTATAAATTGTCATTTTTAAGTTTTTTTGAATCACAAAAGAATTTCACAATTGCCGAAAAATCTAATAAGAAAATAAATAATAAACTATATCTAACCAAATCGGTTTTTCGTTTAAAACCCGACTTTTTCATTTCAAGAAAAGAAAAACCAAAGAGGTACACCAATGCAGACTTCACCTCTTATGACGAAAGAAGACAAATTATTGAGCATTGGACTTACCAAAGAGGAAGTGGATCAAATATCATCTGTTTGTTATGACCGATTCTTTCTGACGTATTTCAACTATTTAAGTGATTAACTTCTAGTTTTCTGGATGCGACAAATTGCTGAACTACATCGCAACGTTAGAACTGAATTCACACCTTCCTCCATCAAAATCACTTCCCCCCCTTCCTCCACTTCCGCACAAACAATCTCGCCTTCCCGAGCTTCCCAAACAAGACGAAGAAAAAAAGTCGAAAAAGAAAAAGATCCGAATGAGTTTTTCCTCCGCATTTTACGACTTAAAGAAAAAAACAGTCGATGGAAAATCGACGGCGTCTCCTGATTTAGAAATCAAAGAGAGAACACACGAACGGTCGCTCTCTTCTGAACGGACACGGAGAAACACAATATCTGACTCGGGTCTAAAAAAGTTAGTGGACATCTCGAGTATCACTGTACACATAACAGAGAGTGAGATGCCGAGTGTACTCAAGTTACAAAGTGTGTGTAAGACTTTTGTAGCGAAGAAGGGATATGACATCGATACCTTAGAAATGCGATTTGAAGCCATTAAAGAGTTGTACGAGACCGAAGTGTCCTTTCACCAGAAGATGATCTTACTCAACACCCACTTTCGGATACCATTCATGCAAATGAAAGACCAAAACACCATCCCGTCGAGGTCCTTCGACAGAGTTTTTTTAACTCTCGAAGACTTAGTCATGTGTTCCAAAATGTTTATCGACAAATTGGAACCAGTTATCACACATTATTCATACAACGCAGCACTCGGACCACTAATGGAAGGCTTACTTGCAAATGTGTGGCCATACATTCGCTTCTCGATCGATTACAACATCGCGCAAACGGAATTAAAATTCCTGAAAACGTATCCTTGTGTGTTGAAATTGTTGCGCGAGAAGTCGAATGAACCAACCCTTGAAAATCAAGCAATAGAAGGACTTCTTATTCAACCCGTGCAACGTATTATGCGGTACCCTATCATCCTCAAACAAATCTTAAAGATGACTCCAAAGAGTCACAACGACTACAAATCGCTCTTCGAGGCAAATGCAGACTACACCTTTTTCATTCACGAGGTCAACGAGCGCGCAAAACGTCGAGACAAGTTAGTCGAAGTATCGCAAATCCTCAACGATGCGAATTTGATCCAACCTTGGCGTTATTTCCTCAAAGAGAGTAAATTGTCGGTCAATGGAAAACATCGTGTTGTCTATCTTCTCAACGATTTAGCTTGTTGGGACGACATCAAATTCCTTCTCGACAACAAAGTCAAAGTCGAGACTCCAAAACCGACTACAGTCGTCCTCACACGTATTCACGACACTCTCACACTCAAATTCGAAGATGAAAAAGAGGCAAAAGACTGGAACTTAGCCTTCACCGACATTATTAAAAACAACAAATGGAAGACAAATAACGAGAAAAATTGGTTTGAGAATCTCTGCAAGTTCAAAGATACGTGGAGAAACATTTAAATTGTTTTGTGTTGTATTTGTTCGACAAATAAAATGAAACTTAAAAAGGTTTTTTGCTTAGTACTTTCTTCCCCCTCTCTTTCCACTGGAGAAAGACGGAACACCACTTCCACTTGAAAACGATGGAACGCCACTGGTATTTCTTTGTGTAGTTCCTTGTGTTCTTGATGGCGCATAACCACCAGTGGATGGTGTATTTGTTCCATAGATGTCTCTTCTTCCACTCGATGGTGGTTGATATCGATCGCCCATTCCTCCTTGTGCTCTTGGTGGTTGATAAGCAGAAGTTGTTCTTTGTTGAGTATCTCCTGTTCTTCCATATGGTGAAGAAGATCCTCTCGACGTAAATGAAGGGACTGAAGTATTCTTAGCGGTCGTTGGTGTTGGCTTTTTTGCTTCTTTTTTCGAGTACCATCCCTCTTTGTCTTCCACAAAAGTCTTTCCGATGCTTGGTTGGTAAATGCCTTGTTTATCAAGGGCTGCCTTTTCTTGAAGCCGTTCTTGATTCTTCTTGAAGTACTCTTCTTCTCTTCTCTTGCGGTCTTCCTCCTCCTTTTTCTTTTGTTCCTCGCGTTTTCGGTCTTGTTCTTTCATTCGTTCAAGACGCTCTTTCTCCGCTTGTTCTTTAGCAAGGCGTTCTGCTTCTTCTTTCTCTTTTCTTAATTTCTCCGCTTTCTCCTGCTTTTCTTCTTCACTTTCTCCCTTTCCAATAGTATTCAACCACGTCTGTAATGCCCCAAGATCGGTGAATTTTTTCTTCATTAACAAGATACGTTCATGTTCCGCTCTTCTAGCATTCTGTTTCGTATCACAAACTTCTTGATACATCGCTTTGATCTCTTCTGCCTCTTCTTCTGTTTTCTGTTTAGTGTATTTCTGTTCGACCATTCGACGCGCTCGTTCGTTATAGTAATACTTATCAAAGAGTTCCTTTCTCTGGCGGTCCTTATTCTCTTTCACTTGCACTTTGAATTGCATTCTGCTGATGTCTTGCATCTTCTTATCATTGTCCGCTTTCATCTTCCGGATCTCCTCTTTCTTCTTCTGTTTCATCTCTTCCTCTTTCCGGATCTTCAATTCAGCAGCTTCACGCTCTAAGCGTTCGTCCTCCTCTTCTTCAAGTCGTCTCTTCTCTTCCGCAAGTCGAATTCTCTCTCGTTCAGCCTCGATCGCTATCATTTTCTGTTTGAATTGTTTCGTTCGGTCCATTATGGCTTTCTTCTCGTTCGCAATTTGATCCTCCGTCACGGTGAATGGAGCACTTCCTTCGTCTTTCTTTGCAAACACAAACTTCCCCTTCTCAAGGTCGATGACAACATTAAACTCAAGATTCGCTGTTCTCTTCAACAATGTTATTTCAACAAAGAACCATGGCGCAACCGTAATCATCTTTTTGACCTCTTCGATATCAACTTCTCCTTCTTCCGATAACACCTGAAAGATTCTCACTACAATCGCCTCTTTCATTATATCACTCGTGCAAATGGGCATCGACTCCTTCACATCAGTGTAACTCGACACAATAGCTTTCGCGTCTTTCCCAACAAAGGCATTATAGAAGTCTCGAATCGGTTCGTCCGCTGTTTCAACAACATCAGTCCCTTTGATCATTTCTTCTATTTCAACCTTTTGTATTCCCAATGGAAACCCTAATGTTCTCGCCAAAACAATATTATTCAACACAATCAACTTATTCCCCAACGTGTTAAACACACATGTTATCATCAAAATCGCATTAGCAACTGCCACCGTTTTCTCCTGTTCATATTCCTGAATCAGTGCAAACAGTTGTACATCGAAGATGTTAGACTTCCCCAATAATTCAGCCGTAGCTTTGTAAAAGTCTTCCAACATTTCCTTTGACGAGTTTTCCGTGATTTTTTTCTTCTTGTTCAGCACATATCCTAATGATGGTGGAATCGACATGTTTGTATTCTTTGTTTTAGGGTTTCAAACAAGGAATTAACATAACCACTTTTTTCTATATTCGTATAATAAATTTACTAGTAATAAACTAGATTGAGACACTATAAACAAGTTAACTCATCTCCAACACCACTATCCTTTTAGGCAAAAAGTTGTTCGACCCACACAAGATATTCACATTTCCTTTATAATCGTATGACGCACTTCCACACTTCCCACTCCCACAGTTTTTCTTGTCAACGTCGATGTCATTCCCATTCAAACATCCATACCCCACACTGAACAGTCTTCCCCCCTCGTCGTCGTTCAAGACAAATGCGTACTGAGGCTCTTTAATATCAAATTTGAGTGGTCGCTCACTCCTGCCATTCGAGAACAACGAGAAGATGAAAGCCTTTCGATCACAGACGTACCGATTCGATCGGAACACTTTTGTTTCCAGATAGACTCCAAAGAGATTGGCGTTCATGTCTTCGATGATTATAGCCATCTTTCCTTTCCCAACCAACGCGCTTCCAAACATGTTCTTTTCTGCAGTGTATGTGTCGACTTTGGAATCAAAGAGAACGCCATTGACCTTTTTGGTACTCCAAGTTTCAATTTGTGTGATAAGACAGTTCTGGATGTCCTCTCCTAATTTCACATGGGACTCATTCTGTGTGATGGCGTACAACCCTCGCTCAAGTTCATTTTTCCTCTTCTCAAACTGCTCCGTCCTCTCATCAATCCACTCTTGACGGTCTTTAACATCTTTCTTCAGCTTGTCTTCTTCAAGTTCAATCATTTTGCGAGTCAGTTCATTGTGTTGGGAAATCAAGTGATTGTTCTCGCACTTACACTCGTCCAAGTATATTTGGACAATCGAGTTCGTCTCTTTCAAAACTCCAGAAATGCTATCCGCCTTCGACAAGATCGCACTTCGTCTTCTTATCATGTCATCGACGGCTTCCATTTCATCGCCAATTCTCTTGATATCAACTTCTTCTCCAAAGCCACGCTCTATTTTTATTTCCTCTTGGAACGGCTGGAGGGACAAGCAAGCCTTTTGTATTGAAGTTAAAGTTTGAATCACTTCACTCAGCTTGTCCGCCACAACTCTGAAGCTACTCTTCTCTGTCATGTTCATTTGGTATTCAAAGTGCATTCGACTCGTCTTATGATTACTTTCTATGGAACAAATCTGGACGGCGCTTTTGAGTTCCATTGAAAACCTCAATTTATTTTGTTTCCATTATCAAAAAGTATTGTGGGGAACTCATTTGTAGTACAAATTGTACGCAAGTGAATAAACTCTGTGGTAAATTGAATTATTTGAATCAACGGAAAACAGTAACGAATCTATTTTTTCTTCTTTCCTGCAGCCTTTTGTGCTTTCTCAGCTTCTTTCTGAGCCTTTTTAACTTGTGCAGCCATCTCTTTCTCCTTTTTCTTCTCCGCCTTCTTGTCCATCTTTTCTTGCTTTTTGACGTTGTCCTTGCGCTTCTCCTCGACTCTCTTTTGCTCTCTCTCAACTTCTTCAATTTCGTATTTGACATCGCCAGGAAGTTTGTTGTAACATGACATACATATAGGGTTGTTGTCGTAGATCTTGGTTTTCTTCGGGTCCATTGGCTTTGAGCACTGTGAGCAAACAAAGCACTTGTGATGGAAGCACTTATCTCCGACGTGTACACCTTCGTTGTTTTTCACAGGCTCTCCACACTTCGCACACACATCGCCAAACATTCGATAGAAATGGAATTCGCAATACGGCTTGCCTTCATGTTCGAAGAATGATGATTTGGTCAGTGGGGCATCACACTCAGTACATGTTAAACAGTCGGGGTGATACATATACCCACATGCTTGTATAGATCTCCCTTCGATTGGTTTCTTACACTTCTCACACACCATCGCAGAGACCAACTTATAGCAGTTAATGCAATACCTCTTTCCAGAGAACTCAATAGAGCTTCCTCCTGTGAATTCAGCATGACAAATTGCACACTGGTAATGGAACGGATGGCACTTCATCCCATTGACCAAAATGAAATCGCCGATGATTGGTTCTTTGCACTTGAAACACAAATCCTTTTGTTTCTCCTTCTCCTCCTTCTTTTTGGCACAATCGACACAATACGGTTCTCCGTCGACATCTTTGTATTGCTTTCCTTTCAAATTGGTTTTACAAACAAAGCAACCGAAGTGGTTTGTGTGGTACTTTCTATTGTTGAATTGGATGGCCTGGTCTTCAATGGGTTGCTTACAATAATAACAACGTGGCCCACAACACTCTTTGTAACAGTCGTCGCAATACAACTCTCCTTCATCTTCTAAGTACTCTTCATCCAACAAACTGCATCCACAATTCGAACACACAAAGCAAGCCGGGTGGAAGACACCTTCGTCGACATCTACTATTTCTCCGACTATGTTTTTGTTACACTTCGTGCATGGATTCCCTTCGATGATCATCACCGTCCCATCAGCTTGTGGAATTTCTAATGTTTCTCCTTTCTTCAGGTTTGCGATTTGTTCCTCCGTCATCTTTTCTTCTAGTTTCAAGTTTTTCAAGTTGAAATTTTAGACAAATCTTTTAACAGCTCTCATTCCACCACTCTTTAGCATTTATACTATTAAGAATTATTCTTATCTGATATTGTTTTCTAAATAGAATCTCACCATCGTTTATACCAAAAAGAACAAATCAACTCCTTTTGTTTTTGTTGGGATTTATCATTGATATAGTTATTTTTTAATTTTAAATAGCTTTGTTTCCAAAAACAAAAAAATCGAACTGAATCGCTGAGGTGTTTCTTTTGGTTTGTCCAAAATCCCCAGAAAATCGGCCAATTAAATAGCAAAAAAGTTTTCGAAAATGAAATTTAATTTCTGGTGGTTTTATTGGAATTTTTTAAACAACCTTTTTTTTTTTTGATAAAAAAACGACAAAATATAGTTTAATGAACTATGAAAAACTATAAAGAGACACTTGAAACCAATAATTCGAACAAAACACCACCCTCAAAAGTCATAATTAAATAGTATATCAAACCATACTTATAGTAAAGTATTTGAATATTTCAGTTTTTAGGGAAGACGTACACAAATGCCGCTGTTTTGAAGAGGACTCCATAGTTCTTTAGCAAATTAAACATTTTAGCTTCTTTTGGTACGATGACCTGCTCTTCACTATCTTTCTGTTGGACGCAAACGACGCACGTTTCTGGGTTGTATCTCTTTTTCTTGTCCCAAGGGAGTCCGTCTTCCATCAAAGTGTAAAGAATGTCACGGAGAAGTGTATCTGACGAACAGTCTCTCAAGCAATCGCTTTGATCGTCTTGTGGATATAACACGATAAGAGGGAATTTTAAGAATCCGCTTTGTTTGTCGTAATTGATGTAAAGTGGCATATAGACACTCATGTCATTCATGAGATCAAACTTCTTCTGTGTGATACCTTTCTTGGCCAAAAAGTTCTCATAGTTCTTTGGTTGCGGTTTCTCGACAGCGGTCCGTTTCTTCATCTCAACGCAGAACGTACGAAGTTTGAGTAAGTCGGCGTTGGTCTTATTCAAGTTAAGACCAAGGTCGATACACACAAGCGCTTCGTCGTATTGATGTAACCGTGTTTTTGCAGTCGCCATTCGGTAATAGCACTTGATGTTGTTGGGAACCAGTTTCAAAGACTCGGATGCGTCTTCATACGCTCGTCCATAGTTCTCTAATTTCAATTGACACGCTGCTCTGTTCGCATAGAGCGCACCAAAGAGAGCAATGTCTGTTGGTTTGGCTTGAATACCATCGGTGTAGCAGATGGCAGCGTCTTTATAACGACCAACTTGAAACAACTCATTTCCATGGTCTCGAAAATTGGTGGCTTGTTCGTCGGGTGTGCCTTCGTATTTTAAAGCAGCCAAAGCGTCAAACATAGCGTTCCCTCCTTCTGGCATTTCAGTGGCAAAAAATGGGTCTTCTTCCCATGGGATTTCGTCGGTTTTCTTTTCGACGGGTTTTGATTCGGCAGGCTGGGCAGAGGTGTTGCTCATACAATTGATTGTGGGTGTTTTGTTATTAGGGTTTGATGTTATACTAAACACGATTCACACCGTTTTTGCATTTCTTGACTATTGGTAAAATAGTAAAGTTAATATGATGGCCAATGGTATAAAAAGACAAATTTGCGCCTTTTGAAATGAACGGTGGCATCAATGAATAATGATGTTTGGATTCTATTATTTCGTGTTTTTTTTGAAATGAATTAATTTAAAAAAAATATTTCAAATAAACAGCGACTAGCCCTATTTATTCCTTTTATAATTACTTAAATACAGTCCATAATGTAATAAAATTTGGTATTTGTGTTGAGTGATACTTAAGTGATTAGGCATACCATATTTATAATACACATAAATTTAGTTTGAATTAAAATAGAAATTAAAAAAGAAGAGAAAAATAATAATATCAAAATGAGTGAGAAAAATGATGAGAACCCCACACACACAAGCGAGTGCGAGGAATCGTATAGTTCTGAAGCAACGGAGAGTTACTCCACAAGTTCTTCCGAAGACTCCATTGAGGAGGGTAAAGCGAACTCATATTTAATTGCTTCGGACACATTCGACGAATCAAATTATAGTGATAAAGAACTGATTGATATTTACAGATCTGCATACAATTATATCTTAGAAGACTTTTACAACAAGTTTGGGGCAATGAAGAAAATGATGTTAAACATGACCGAGGAAAATGAAGACTTAAAACAAGACAAAGAGAAGTTGGTGAAATTCTGTGTGAGTTCCAAAGAGATTATAGAAGAGATGAAACAACGTGACGACCACCTTACAAAGCAATATGCTGAGGTGTTAAATAGCTATGAAGAAGAACAAAAGAGTCATAACAAAACAATTGAAGAACTTCAAGACATCAAAAGAGGTGAAATCTTTGGTGCCAAATGCGCTCAAGTCGAAGCATCTCTGCGACTTTTTGTTGAAAACGGAAAGGTCAAAAACATTGAAGTCTTCAACTCCGCCAATTCGCTACACGACGACAACTTACTCAAGATTTCTCTTTTGGAAACAAAGCTCGAACAGTCAAACCAGAAATTGTCACAAGCCGAAGAAGAGACACAAAAGGTGATGAAAGAGAAAGAACTTGAAGTCGTGAAGTGTAAACAAAAGAACGTCGAACAGCTCAATGAAAAACAAAAGGAAATCGAAGACCTCAAAAAGCGAATTGAAAACTTTTTACAACCAAAAAGTCCAAGTCTAAGCACTTCAAGTGAATCAACAAACTCAACAGACTTCTCGAAGCTTGAAAAGGATCTTTTGACTCAAAACTTCTCAAAGCCTCAAGTCTTAGAAAAAATACGGAAAATCAAATTCCAAAAAATCGAACAAAACGTCGACAAGAAATTATCGCGCATCACTCTCCCTCCAAATAGTTTGTTAAATAGAAACTCCACAAGAGTTTTGGTGAAAGCAGTTCAACCGGGTACAGTGGAAAAAACCGAACAACATGAAAAGGCTGAAAAGGTGAAGAAAAGTGAACCCAAAATGACTGAAACGAAAGAAGAAGTCCCGTCCCAGCAAACACATTCACACTCCTTTTCTATTACACAGAAACTTGAACACACATTGAGTGAAAATCCAAAAGAAAGCAAATTGGCTTTAAAACTGACTTTAAATAAAGATATTGTTCAGGTGGTGCAAATAGCAAAAACGATATTTTGTGTCTGTAAAGGAAAGAGTAAGAAGTGTAGTTTAATTTCCATATCAGAAAAGTTGGAACAAAAAGTCATTGAAACTTCGAAGAAAATTGAACTCACAGAAGACACAAGAAATTTGGTGTATTATACTGATGGGAAAATTAAGTGGTATTCCCCTTCAAAAAGCGCATTACTATCAAAGCTTTCACTCCCCAAATTCCATCGGTTTGTCAAAAGTTCAGTGAATGGCGATGTTCTAGTCGAAACGACAGACAACTCCCTTTTCTCAGTGAAAGATCACACACTCACAAAACTTGGACAATCAAAGACTCCGATTGGAGAGAATCCAATAGTTGTGCAGAATTCGATATTCTCAGTCAAAAATTCGACATTAGTCCGCACTGACTTAAAAGACGGAACAGACTTTGTAACGAAATACATTGGGGGTTCAAACATCGAAGTTAACAACACACTGATATACATCACGCAGCCAATGGTCAATGTCATTCAAATTTTAGACTTCTCACTTGCAGTGGTGAAGACTGTGATTGTGCGCTATGGGGCTAATCAAATCAGTCGAGTTGGAGACTCTGTTGTCTTTTGTGGTCGTAATCGTCTTGGTTTAATAGACAAGTCTCATTCAATGATTGAAGACGTTCGTCTCGAAATTGGTAAAATCGATGGTATTAGTATCGGTGCAGACTTCTCTACTATGCAAACGTCGTGTTTAATGTTCGCACACAATGAGTTGTTCTCTTACAACCTTCCTGTTCCTCTTCATTCTTTAGTCAAGAGTGAAGAGCTTGGAGAATGTGAAATATGCAAAAATGGAGTGATGGAGGTGGAGTGTTCTTGCTGTCACAAGAAGTACCACAAAGCATGCTACGACGGCTCCTTATGTGAGACAGAGGGCTGTTCTGCGTCTCTTCACAACTAATTTGTTTCTTCAGTTCTTTTCAATTCAACTAGCAAAAAACAATAAATAACACAAGTACCAAACAGAGCGACTACTTTGTTTCAGGGGAGCCCGCAAGGCTCTTACTGTGGTAGTCTGTGAATGACATCGAAATCCGTTTCACAAATTTCGAAAATGTGCTCTGTGGACGGAGTTTGTCTTTACGCGGATCGTGAGGGGGTCGGACCATAGTCGACAGTCTTTGTTTCGTGATAGGTGTTCTATTTGTGGACAACACCATATTGAGGGGGAAGAGTGCCATTGGTTGGAATGCGGGATACTTTGGCGGTTCATTTCCAAATCGTTCATTTCTCTCTATGATCTCATCGAACACGGTATTAAAACTATTGAGAAGTAACGAGAGGGAGTTGATGACATGGGAAGGGAATAACATTTGTTCATTTTTGTCATTTGTTTCCTCTCGACATATAGCAAGTGCAAAACACAGTGAAAGGTTCTGGAATGTCATCTTATTCTTCTGTGAGCATTGCGCAACTTCTCTTAAAAACTTGAGTAAATAGCACAAAGTGTCTTGTGTTTCTGTGGAAAGACTCATAATAAATGCTTTAGGGTTTTCATTCGAAGTCAGCTGTGAGAATTGTGTTGCTTTTTCATATGGGATCACAGGTTCGACCATTTGGTTCAAGTAATACTTAAGGAAGTGTCCAATCATAATAGAGTCTTGCTTCGGGTTGATTATAAAGTCCTTGTCTTGATCCGCCATTTCGCGTAACACTTTGAGTTCCGCTACACTCCCATTCATTCGAAAGATCCCTTCCTGCTCATAGCCTTTTGTCGTTCTTAGAAATTCAACGGCACGATACACAACAAGGGGGACCCGCCACCCAGACTTTTTCACCGCGATCTCTAAAGGATACCCAAAAACACCATATGGGTGAGTCAGTGGAGCTATGGCTTTGTACCAAAAAGCAGCTTCCACTTTGTTCATTGCGACGAATATATACTCTTTGTCGTAGACTATTTTAAACGCAAGTCGCATTTGATCATGGCTGAGGAAGATCGATTCGAAGGAGACTAACATGACTGAGCTTTGGAGGTCGAGCACTATCTTACTTCCGACAAAGAGGAGTGGGGTCGAGCCATTGTGTTCGATCCGAACAACTTTCTTCACCAATTTATTGCTGTGATCGAGGTAGTGTAAGATGGATGGGATGCGTAAAGCAGACATATGATATGAAGATTTTGAGTTCTTCATTTTAGCACATTGAAACACGTCATTTAGTAAAATAACTGTTCTATTTTTGTATCAATAGATTGGGTATTATTTATGTCAAAACCAAAGAAAATAGACAAATATAACAATTAATATATCGGGATTGCTTTTCTTGGTATCTGAGTTTTTTAAAATATTTGCACTTTTCGTTTCTGGTTAAGACGTGTTATTTTAGTACCGAAAATGACAGTTTGACAAGGAAATTTTGCAAATTTGACAAAAAAAGAACACAATTCAAAATTCGATCATTTAGTTGTTTTTTCTATTTTAATAGTATCATCACTTCAATGCGTTTTACGTAAATTGAAATGAAAAAAAGGAGAAATGAGATATTTGGATTCATTCAACAGGAATGCTTTTAACATTTTAACTCTTTAATAATTAAAACAAACTATACTTATAATTTATGTTCATTGATTTCATTGCTTCTTAAAACAGTTTTTGATTAACGAGATTGTTTGTTTTGCTTCACCCAAAATGATGTGATGGTTGATGACTTTTTTAAATAAAAATAATCCCAGAAGTCCATGAAAGAGAAAGAAATCCCAAGGAATGAGTAGAATAATTCGTAAAAACAAACAAATGAATTTTTGGCATGCATTTTTGAAGACAAAAAAAGTTTCATCATCGAAGAAGTTCGAAGACCGATAGCAAAAACCTTTTTAAATAGGTGTACTCCCCGAAAAATTCCGCTCAAATTATCAAAAATAACAACTAAAATAGAATGGACCAACGATAATTATTTGCCTTAAGAATGTTTTCAGTGTTGATGGATTTAAATTGTTTAAATAAAAAACCACACCTATACTTTATAGATTATTTTAATTAATTTTATAGATTAAATCATTTATTTAATCCACAGCTTTTAAACTTTGATTACTTGTTTGAATAGGGGTGTGGAAAATATCTTTCGAATTATTATTTTAATAGTATTAATTATTAACAATACTATACATTGAAAAGGGAGTTAACAACCCCGAGTTGTTGTGACTTTGAAATCTTGACTGTCTGGTCTGAAATAGTGGTGAATGGCAGAATTTATAATATTTCTTTTTTTCAACACGATTGGTATGCTGTAGGTCATTGCGAAAAACCCAAATGAACTTTTTTACAATTAAAAACGATGATTATACTGAGGTTTGGTTAAGTTCAGACAAGTCTTTATTCAAAGACTCATCTATTAATATATTTACAAAACTCTGATATTTGTTTGCTTCCATGCTATTCAAATGGTAAATTAGATATTTTAAAAAATTTTTATTGTTTGTTAAATAGTGAATCATTTGAATAGAATCAAAGATACCACGAGTTAACCTCTGATGTGACTTAACTCTCAATTTGCATCAATTTACATTGTTTTATGAAACTCACTTCTTTCAACCCATTCGCAACAAACCTTTATATTCATTTTATTATTTATTTTGTTGTTGAGCTTCTAAGTTAACTGTTGATGAATATAAGAACACAGTGATGATTATCATAAAAAAACATAAACTGAAAAAATAAGACTCAATAGACAAACGAAACTATACTTACTATAATAAATTAATTAACACAAAAAACTCTAAAAACACTCGAAAACCCTGATGAGCAGCAGAGCACCCGTCACAGCGTGTCAAAAGGACAACCCAACGTCTCGCAAAGAACGTCGTCAAACACGGAATGACGAACGTGATATCCACGTGAGTCAACTCCGCAAAACACATCGACTTGTGAAAGAGAATCCATTTGTTGACCAAGCCATGTTTTGGAAAGAGCGTATGGACACATTTGGCGTTAACTTAAAAAATGTCCGCGCGCTGACTGACGAAGAGATCTTTGTCGGTGTAGTTGATTGGGTGTGTCGCGACGAAGAAGAGCTTGAAAACCTCAATGAAAAGGTCAACACGAGTTTCAAGGCCAACACCTCTTTAAAGAACAAGAGAGATCGCCTCAAAGAGAAGTGTGAAGCGCAAAAGAAAGAGTTTAAAGGTGGCATGTCCATCATCGATTTGAGGGATAAGAATAACGTGTTAACTCTTTTGTTAGCAAAGGATCTCTACGTGGCTCTCAAACAACAACTCAAAGAATTTATTATCAAATATGGAGATAAAGATAAGATCGCAATCACACCAGCCATTGAGGCCGCGGTTGCCAAATTTGAGAAAAAGTATTGACAATTTGATTGATTTTTTGACTTTCTTTTGATGTAGTAAAAATCTTAGCAAAAAGAAATGACACATGCCTCTACAATTAGCTAAAATAAGTATCTTGCAAAAAACAAAACACTCAATCTCCGTCGTGCGTGCGTGAAAAGAAAAAGACATACAGCAAAGTGAAGGGCTTGACATAATAAGTTATTAGATAAACTCCATAGACCCAAACAGTCAACTTTAATGACAAAGGCATGTTATCTCAAGTTCAAAAAAGTGACAGGGAAATCACTCATCTCTCTATCTCTGTTATTATTAAATACTGCTCTTTTGGTGTTCCAGAAATTGGCTGCATCTTTTATTATCACACAACTCTTCATTCGAAACGACGCCGCAACTCCATCCCTCGTAATGCTCACATTTGGACCTTCGATACTAGCATTCAGGGCTCTTTACAGAGCAGTGTTCTACGAGAAGATATTTACGAAGAGTATTCTAATACATTTACTCTGTGGAATTGTCGAAGGCGGTAGCCAAGGTATCGCGATGATCATCTTTGTGTATTTCTTCGAGAACACACAACAGTATATCACCTTGTTATATCTCGACGTTGTTTCATTCCTCCCTTTCTTATTCTATATTATTCCGGCGTTTTCAAAGTGCCGAATGTCGTCATTCCTCAATCTGATATTTGCTGTTATTCCACTGGCGTCGGTCGTTGTCATTTCGTGGCACTATGAGTTCTACTGGCAAATGGTTGTTGCGTGTACTTTAAATATAGTCCCCTATTGGAGATCACTTGTTCTCTGGAAACAGAACAGAAACAAAAAGTTTGACAAGCACAGAAATTTGGTGAGCTTTGTTCGCGAACTAACGAAGCTGGTTGCAATCATTGTTGGGTTCAATTTAGTGTATTTCACTGATACGATCAACCAGAATGAGTATTGGTTGGTCGATTCCGATTATCTCGTCTCGGTTGTTATTGTGTGTATCGCACCGTTCATATTACACCACACGACAACTTGGGGAATGAAGGCACTCATGCCCATAACTACGACAACACTACCACTATTGTTTTCAACAGTACTATCCTTATTAATATACCTTTTGACGTGTCATTGGAATGTAATCAGTGAAATAGAAAATGGGATGTGTACGTTCTATGCCGGAGACGCAGATTGGTGGTTTGTGGCGTGCTTTGTTGGTGTGTTCTTCTCAGTAGTCTTCTTGTGCTTCCATATTATCAACCAGTCACAGTACGTGACCAAAACAAGAGATGTTTGGACTATCCCAGACGTGTCTGTGATATCACCAGAAAGCTCGTTGTTGTTGAACAGACAAATGGATGACACATCAAATTCAACGACATCAGTAAAGGACGAAGCAACGTTCCAACAAATGAACATCATTGTTTGTGCGACAATGTACCACGAAAACCAAAAGGAAATGGAGCGATTGCTTGAGTCGTTCACCAAATTGGATTCGAAAGAAGAAAGTAAAGGACACGTCTACTTCTGCATTGTCTTTGATGACGCCTGTCGCACGGAAGGAACCACCTTGCATTGCAATCTGTTTGTCGACCAACTTGTTAGACTCTTACAACAAGAGCGAATCAAGTTGGAGTACGAGACACAGTGGTTTGGCGCAGTTGCCTTTGGGACTTTCAAGAACACGACCCCCATCACCGTCTTCCTCAAAGATTCTTCAAAGATCAAGAGAAATAAGCGTTACAGTCAGCTTGTGTTGTTTAACTACGCACAGCGGATCCTTCCAATGAAAAACACGTTTGTACTATTTACCGATGGAGACACGTACTTTTCGCCATCTTCTGTGGAAAAGTTGTGTCTAGAGATATCTGCAGAACCAAGATGTGGCGCAATTTCAGGGAGAGTCTTCCCAGACGGAAAAGGTATTTGGGCGCAGTACCAACAGTTTGAATACGCAACGAGCCATTGGCTCCAAAAGACTGCAGAGGAAGAATTGGGTACTGTTTTGTGTTGTCCTGGGTGTTTTACGTTAGTGAGACTTGAGTCAGTGTTTGACGTGTCCATGAAAGACATTAACGTGTTTGAAAAGTACTGTGAACAACCAAAGAGTGGAATGGGGGTGTTGACACACAACTTTGGTGAAGATCGATGGATGAGCTACTTACTTGTAGAGCGAGGGTGGTGGCTGAAGTATTGTTCCATTACAAAAAGCAAAAGTTTCTGTCCAACAACAACGATGGAGTTCTTTAATCAACGGAGAAGATGGTTGACAAGTACTTGGGCGAACACCGCGATGATAGTAAAGAACTGGATGACAATTAAAACGAACAACAAGCGAGTCAACACTCTCTTCATGATTTATACATTCATCAATTTCATCGCTACATTCGCAACCCCTGCAACAACTTTACTTCTTGTTTATGGGTTTTTGGTGAATAACGACATTCCATATTGTGAGGTTATTGCCTTTGTTTTAGCCGTCTGCCCGACTCTCTTTTTCTTGATAGTGTTTGTTTTGATATCCATTTATGACGAGTGTTGATGTGACAAATAGAGAAATAATAACAATGTTCAAGCCATCACCACGGTTTGAAATAATTACAGTTGATATATTGAAGTGGTTCTATGCGTTTGAAATGCTCCTTGTTGTTGCGAACATTGTTTACAGTTGTGTAACCGTGTCAACGATTTCAATTAGTTTACTCTTTTGTGGATTGCTCATTGTGATATACGCAGTGACCATTTTGCTCCATGCCGAGTTCGAGAAGATACTTGGGGGCGTCATTACATTCTTTCTTATTCCAACAACAAACATCCTTCTCATTATATACTCGTTAGTCCACTTGAACGACGTAACTTGGGGTACTCGAGAACAAAAAGGCGAAGCAATTGAAAAGCTTATATTAGCCAAAGAGTCCAACTACAATTACCTTGAGCGAAGTGACCGATTTACTGTGAGTGAAGTCACAAATGTGAAGAAGATGCAAAGTCAGTTAAGGAAAACGCAATTTGGCACAGCTGTTATCTTTTTGATAGCATCGACATTTTGGATTGGTCTTTCTGTTGGTCTGATGGTACTCGACTCATTATTCAAATTCACAATATTTGGGATGTCGTTCTCTTTCATGCTTGTTCCAACGTGTTTGACTCTTGCCTTGACTCTGACACAATTCTTCTCGATGTTGTTCCACAGAATGAATACATTGGCGTTCATCTTGTCGAGAACAGAGTGAATGGTATTCTATTGCGATACCATACCATAAGATATAATGCTTTTCTTATGCTTTTTAGGTTTTGTTCAATGAAAATTAACTAATAAAACTATTTAAAACATTCATCAGATAATGTCAAGCCACCACCACGAGTGTTGTCAATGCGAAGGTAGTGACACTTCTTCTTCACAAGAAGCCGAGGAGTGCGAGTGCAGTTGTTGCCATGGGCACCGGAATGATGTTCCTGAAAAGAAGATGGTTCCGCCACCAATGCGGTATATAAAGAAAGGGTCTGGCACTGTTGTGGGTAATGACGATAGTGAAGTGACCATCAACTATTCAATGAAATTCTCCAATATAGTAGTTGAAACTAAAATGAATTATACATTTACTATTGGCGCTGACATTGATCAGATCATATGCGAAGGGTTGGAACATATGGTGGAGTACATGCACGAAGGTGATATCTGTGTGAGTGAGGTCATGCCGGAATTTGCTTTTGGAGCGACTGGAGACGCGACCAGAAATATCCCACCAAACGCGATGGTAGTCTTCGAGGTCGAGTTAGTGTCACTTCGAAAGTTTCCGACAATGTTTGATATAGTCAGCGAAGAGATCTATCCATTTGCTCTAAAGAAAAAAGAAGAAGGCAACGCATTTCTTAAACAACAAAAAGTGACACGAGCAGTTCGAGCGTATCAGTGCGGGTTGGAATATTTAGAAGAAGACTATCGAATACCAAGGAGTGTAGGAAATGATGTTTTCACGTTAAGGCATATCCTCCACACAAATCTATGTGTCACTTATTTAAAACTCCAGAAGTACAAATTAGTGGTAGTACACGCTTCAATAGTTATTAAAGAGGACCAAACAAATTGGAAAGCATTACTGAGAAGAGGTACTGCTTATTATTACTTGGACAAAATGGGGAAGGCTAAGGAAGACTTGGAAAGTACTTTGGACTACTACCCAGACTCTAAAGACGCAGAAAACTTGTTAAGAGCAGTCAGAAAGAAAATTGCTGAAGACTTAATGAGACAAAAAAATTTGTGTAAGAAAATGTTTTGAAAATTTGGTATTCAAAATGTTATTGAATATTAGTATATAGTATTTTCTAATATAATATAATATATTATAATGCAAATAGTTAATAGTAAAGATATTAATAAAATTAATTATTAAATAATTACATGAGAAAAACTGTGAAATGAAAAAGGGAGACGTTATAAGGAAAAGGTACAGTGCACTGGGAGAAATGATTCAAGGAACACACAGTGCAAACTATATAGCTATTGATATGGTTTCTTGCTGCAGTGTTATGCTTAAAACTGATATTCCAGAAGAAGAACTTGAAAATTGGGCGGATGCCAAAAAAAAGCTTGCGACATGTAAAAACAATTTGAATAACATTTTTGATATAATGGACATCTTTGTTTTTGAGAGCAAAAGTTATATAGTGACGGAGTATCTTGACGTCACTTTATTAGAGATCTTGAACCAAAGGAAGCCATTTGACATTTCTTTGTTGTACAATTCACTGACACAAACTTTACTCATTTTTGAAGGTATAGGAATCATACATACTGATATAAAACCAAGTAATATAATGTATTCCGTTCACCAAAACGTATTTAAAGTGATTGACTTTGGTTCAAGTACTACACATAACACGTCGGGTACTGAATACATCCAATCCCGATATTATAGGGCTCCTGAGGTCATTTTTGGGATAGCATCAAATATAGAAATAGATGTTTGGAGCGTTGGTTGCGTTTTGGCTGAATGCATTTTGGGAACACCTCTTTTCCCAGCAGAAAGTGACGAAGAGCACATCTTTCTGTTGTTCCATGTCATCGGCCAACCATCCTTGGAATTTTATAAGAAAATAACTAAAAACAAATTATTTCTTCAACAAGCAAATCAAAACATTTACTTGGCCGACTCAATCCTTGAAAAAATTGAAAAAGAAGACGATCTTCAGAATTTGGTTATTGACGAAATGGTCGAAGACTTCCCTCATTTTGGTGTGATAAAAAAGTTGTTAACTTTTGATTTTAATGAAAGAGCAACACCATCACAGCTGTTGGACATGCTCATCTCTTTTGAATAACTGACTTATTATATATAGTTTATTTATAGTTTATTTATAATTTTTTACTAGTACATTGTAAGTCTCATCACCACTCCAAAAAAAATAAGTCTATATTATTTTCGTTCACCCTAAAAATAAATATCATAGAAATATATATGAAAAGAATTATCGAAGTGAACGAATTCAAAAAATTGATAATACTCAAAAATTCAGAGGAAAAAGACTTGAACACCAAAAAAAGAGGGTTTTCCTCTTTTTTTGAAAAAAAGAAAAAAGAGAAAAGGAACTGCTATTTTCAATGAATCCAAACCAAATGATGACACCAATTGGCCAACCACAAATGATGGGGGCCAACATAATGCCACAAATGATCAATCAAAACGCAGTGAACCCAAATCAACAACAAGAAGAGGTCATTTTACAAACTGTCATCGCTTCACACGAGTTTGTCAGACTGTACTACGCCCTATTTCAAAGCAGAGTCGACGAATTGGTGAAAATGTACCACCCAAAGGCCGTGTGTAATTGGAACGGTAACTTTTTCAGTGGGCTTGAAGCAATTAAAGCACATTTGATCTCCCTCACGCCAGGGAAGTATACCATTGACACATATGACTCTCAACCTATTGGGGATGTATCTCGTTTGTTATAGTCAAGTTGCTTAATATAATATCTCTGATAAGTAGAAACGGGATCACTCATGTTTGTCGTGACTGGAAATGTGTGTTATAACGACAACGAGAATTCAAAACGAGAGTTTTACCACCAATTCATCCTTTCGAAGTCAAACGACAGCACGTGGTATATCATCTCTGAGAATTTCAGGCTACTCAGATAAATATTTGTGTTACCCATGATTCACTATTATTGTTAGGTTATTGCGCCTCAATTGGCACATCGTTTTCTACCGCACACAAACTATAAAAGACAGTTTACAATTATCTGAGGAGCTTCGAGTCATTTTCGATGATGACTCTGAGAACATTTATCACCATTGCACGCACATCGGCACCAACGTGAACGTAATCCTCACAATACTCAATGACCTCGTTGATCACTTTGTCGTTTAATCCAATAATTTTCATGTTCTTTGCGATGATGTGTAAAGTCGTGATCAACCCGTTTTCTTCTTTCTCCCTGAATTTGTCTTGTTGCTCCTTTGGCAGTGTCTTCCAAGTCTCTTCTAATTTGTTATTATACAACTCACCATAGATCGTTCTCTTGAATTGGACCATCCCTTGATTGAATGCTCGATACCATATCTTTTTGTTATTCCACACCTCCGCCATACCTAATTCATCAATAACAAATTTGTATGTCATCGAATCGACTTTGCAACAGTACTTCGTCGCTACGTCGATGATGCCTAATGGCGTTTCGATATCGTGATCGCTTCGACAGTACTCCACCAGTGTTTTCATTAACCCTACTACACTCTGGAAGGGAACTTCTTCTAAACATCCTTTACTCTTCATTTTCTCCCCACGCTCACTTAAAATCTTCAACAACAGGTGACGACCGGCTTGATTTGATACACAGTGGTACACCTTTGTCATGTCGCCCTCCTCGCCACGGATTAAGTCGTCAACATACCGCTCGAAGACGGCAACCCAGACGTGTTTCTCTTTTGCTTTCTCCCTTGGGTTTTTCAATTTGTCCAACTCGTTGACATAAGTCTTGTCCCTCTGCATTTGCTTCGTCAACCGAATACTACTTTCGCCTTCTCGGAGCTTCTTCAAGTCTTTCCAATCAATAGAAAATGCGCCGATGTCTCTGTATTCCTTAATGATGTTCGCGTTGGTTGGTGTGATGTTTATGATTTTCTTAGTCTTTGAGTAGAAGTTGATCAACTCCGCTGCACTCACATCAAAGATCTCCCCGTTATCCACTCGCGAAACACATTCTCGGCTCCTTCTTCTTGAATGAAACTCATGAACGTTCCGCTCTCACAGAAGTGTTTGATCAACGGCTCGCAGTCAAAGCTCTTCGTGAAAAAGAATGAAAACACGTCGAAGTCGTACACAACTTTATCTGCAACCCACACAAAATTGATATATTCGTCGTACCCCTCTAAAAGTCGTGTGAGAAATCTAAAGAACGCAATCCGGACTTTCATATTAAAGGCGCTTGTCGAGATCGAAAAATAGCGGTCATCATAAGGCTCGTTTCCAAGCTGGTCCATTTCGAAATACTTTTCTTTGTACGCGTTGTTCAACTCATTTTGTAATTCGACAGTCATCTCCACTGGAAATTCAAGTTGCTCTTTCGACACTTTAATGTCGATTGTCCCCAACTCCAAATCAACAACAACGTGCTCCTCCTCTCCAATCTGTTTCATCGCCTCTTCTCGGTACTTTAATGGCACTCCTGCTATAAATGTATCACTCCCAGATAACACATTCAAGTTTTTGTATGGAAGTATAGGAAAGACTTTTTGTGTTGGTGGAAATGGGAATAATAAGGAGACCATGTTATCAATGATAGTCGTTAAAAGGGTTTGACTCTGCGCGAAGACGATAATCTTGAGGTTTGTCATCAACAACAAAAAGATGGTTGTCACACCAGACACATTAAATATGGAAAACATCGGGTATATCGTTGTGTTAAAACTCGGCAGTGAATATTTCAAAGGGAGTCTGAGCTCGATGTTCAGATTCCCATATTTGTATTTCACATACCCGCCATATGCCAAGCTCTCCACATTCATCAATTCGTATATCCCTTTAACTATTTGCGCATTACTCAAGACAGTATTGCTCTTACCCCTCACTGCTGTTGGGCTTTTAGTGTTCTCGTCTGGAAAATCGATGATGTCCAGAGACTCTTCGCTACTGGGACAGTTCTCGTATATCACCAAAAGCATTCTCCTCATCACTTCATACAATGGATAAGGTGATACAAAGCCAATAGCGACAGGAAAAAAGACGGTCTGTCCTTCAACGACCTTTTTAGTGTCGGAGATCAAGAACGTGTAGTATTGATGTTCCACGGAGAAGTTAAAGAGAGGGACTAACGTCGGTTTTCGTGGGGTTTTTGAGACAACCAACCCATCTGGAAATATTTCGAGCCAAAACTCGTGAGGTAATTCGAGTGTTGGTGGGATCAAGACGGAATACGTTCCTTTTTGTCCAATAGAAAAATCTAATATGGGGGCGTCGATTTCTATTTTCACAAAGCCACTGATCGGGCCAAGCACTTTTTCTCTCTTCGACGGTGTTTCAGCCTTTTTCTCTGACCCCATGTAGTACTGTACCTCCGCTGTTGTAAGTGGATGATGTTTGAGAACGGCATGAACTGATGATAACATGTCCGTCCACCCCTTTTCAATTTCACTCTCTTCCGTCTTCCCTTTTTGACGCTTAAATTTGCATTGGATGGTGCCGATCTTTTCGTTGTTCATTAAAAGGTCGTACCATGATGTTGTCGAGATGTCATTGCCTAAACGAGATAGAATGATCTTTGCACTGCCCAATTCGATTTTGTTACCCAAATATCCATGTTTGTTTACACTCACTACGATCTCCTTTGTTTGTGGAGTGATCTCTCTAAGAGTCATTTCTATTGTTATAATATAATTATTAATATAATTTAATAATTTAATTTAATATTAATTTGTAAACAAACAAAATCATTGGAGGACCATTCCAAATCGGGTCGGTGGTTTTCTTGGCAGTTTCAGTGCGATACTTCACTTCACCAACTTTACATGATGCATAAGGGTCACAATCACCTTTATCTATTTTTGTGAGTTTGGCGGAAAGAACTGGAAATGAGTGATTTGGATTCATGCTGTCAAAACAAACTTTGTATCTCAAGATTGTACTTCTCTCCAAACACTTGGAGATTTTTGTCCATTTCTCTGTTTTTCAGTCTTTTTTTTCAAAGTTCTTTCACTCTTTGTTTGGTGTGTTTTTTTAGTTGGAAATGCTATATTATTATAGTTTTTGGATACTATTTAACTAATCAAAGAAAAAACACAAAAATTCTTTAAAACGAAAAAAATGAGCCAAAAAAAAAAGTTGACATAAAAATAAAAAAATCAAAACAGAACTCGAAAACATGAAAATTGTTTTTCTTTTGCTGGTGATTTTAAGTTTTGGCTGTGCCCAACAATACGAAATAATTCATAAAAAACGGGAGTTGACCGAAGGGCAGAGGATTGCGTTACGCAACCGAATGTTTGTAATAAATTATTATAAAAATTTGGCGAAACAGCAACAACAAAAACGAAAGATAATAAAATACGATGCTCCTTCATATGAACAAATAGCCGAACAACAACGCAAAGAATTGAGTGACGTGTACAATTCCATTTTAAAGAAAAAACTCCGTGAACGCGCAAAACAGGAGGTTTTGAGAGAACTGCAAGCAAAACGAAGGCGTGAAGAGGAAGACGTGTATGAAAAAATCAAGGAGGAAGAGCGCCAAAAACTCATGAAAGCGGAAACAAAACGATTGTTGCAAATTCGAGAAGCACAAAAACGTGTTGAAGAGGAACAAAAGAAGAAAGAGGAATACGCCAAACATTTGGAATTGCAGAGGAAGAAATCTTTTGAGATCGAAAAAAAGAAACTTCTTGCACTCCGGAAAAGGGAATACGAAAACGCAAAACTTACTGCTGAAAAACGACGAATTGCGGAACTCAAAGAAACTTTGGCACGACAAGAATTGGACAGAATTCAGTGGAGAAAGAAACTCGCAAAAATGAACAAAGAAAAATTGTTAAAACTAAAAAATGAAGCAAACGAAAAAAAGAAAACACAGAACGAACTCACCGAACAATTTAAAAAGTTCAACCAGATGCTTTCGACTGATTTGTAATTCACTTTTGTTATTTACTTTGTTATATTACTATTAATACTAATTATATAAGTATTATTTGATTATAAACTATTATTATAGTAAAAAAACTTTTTTTTATCAACTAACTACGCACATTAGGTTGGTTACCAAAAATTAAACAACAAAAAAAACTTGAAAGATACCAACTCAAATGATTTCTAAACATTTGAAATGGAAAGGGTGTTAATTCCAAATTACAAATAAAATTGAAAAACTATATTTTACAAGTTTTTGTTTCGATTTTATAAAAAATCAAAACAATCTCCAACAGTATCAAAAACCAATGGACAAAAAACTGACAAAAAGTTAATTAACTTGTTATAAATATAATTACAATTGATAATAAAAACGAGATTTTAAATAATAATGTGATCCATTTGATCATTTTTGTCAAGGTAATAACCACTTTCTGAAATAAATTTGACAAATCAGATTGTTTTGATTAATTCGAACAGAATGGATGTAAAAATAGTTACATATATCTGTGGTTTTGTTTGTCAATAAAAGTTCACAGGGAACAAGAAGATGTTTTGCGAATCGGTTTTTGGAACAAAAGGGTCTTTTTGTTGGTTGTTATTTTATTAAAACAATAATTGGAATGAAAAAATGGTATTAATAACATAATAATTTCAATATATTACAACAAATTGTCGATAATAATAATCTAGATGTTTCATTTTCTCAGTACTCACCAGTTTATATTTTAAAATAAAAACAAAATAATAAGAGGCCATTGTCAGAACTAGTACCTGTAACAAGACTTGTTCCTAATTTATATAATAAAGTGTACCATTTTTATTAATACAATTTCATAATTGTAATTCAAAAAACATAATTATTTTCAGCCAGTTATTTGTAAATAATATTACTGAATTATTTAAAAACAAGCAAAGAATTTCAAAATGGCGAATAGTTAACACCTAATTATAAATAACTTAAAACGATAGAGGGTAACATGGTTTCTTTTGTGCCCAATTTTAACAATTTTTAAAGTCATTACTAAACAACTTTAAAACTGATAACTATTCTATTGTTTCAAAAACTACTTTAAAAATTCATCTTTTTGTCAAAAATGTGCGTTGACAAACAACTCATAGAAAAGCTACATAACAAAATCAATTGAACAATACGGACATCAACTCCGTGTCACCTCGTTTAAGGGTGTATGAGTTCCCACTTTGCCCGAAAAACGTTTCGACGAGAGCTTTATTTGCGTCGGCTCCTATCTTTAGAATTTTGTCCTTTGGGATGACTATCCCATCAAAAGAGACTTCGATGATTGTTAGCTTCTTCACGTTATTTGTGAACGACGTCGCATACTTAAAACTGAAGCCGAGAAATTCAGCAGTTTTTTGAAGAAGATGGAGACACTCCCCGACTTTATTCACAACGTACCGCCTCTTTGCTGTTTTCACTTGTACACCGGCGTTCACATCGGACTGATACATCTCTGTTATTTTCTGCTTCAACAAATTTTTAATATCAATTGTGGTGTTTCCTTTTGATAGTTTTTCTATTTTCAGAAAGGGCATAGTAATCGTTTTGCGCGCACGAGTGACAGAAAAGGTCACATCATAATATTGGTTGATCAAAGCTATTAAAATGCACTGCTGAGCGACTTGGTAATTTCTATTCTTCCTGAAGTTCTCTTGGTTCTTCGTCTCGTTTTTTGTGTCGACTTTGGTGTCTGTGGATTTCTTCAGGTCCGGATTTGTGTGGTTTGAGGAGTCTGACATTTGAATATTGAGTTTGAACTTGGTAACAATTGAATATGTAGAGAACACACCCAATATTAATTTGACAACTTGTGTGGTTTTCGATTTTCTTTTTATTAATAGAATTTGTCTTAGTGTTTATTTGGCATATTCCGAAATTACATTAGGCTTTGACTTATACTAATTGCACCGTTCAAGTTAAAACATTCCACTTCTACGCTTATAATTTGATTTCCTATTTTTTTACTCAAATGAACAAAGAAATTGATTCAATGTCCAGTGTTATAGATATTCTTATTAACAGAAGTAAAAAGATATAATTAACTGGCATTATCGACTGTTTGGTATACCATTTTTAACTTCTGAAGTAAACAAATTTTCTTTTATCATGGTTTATGAACTCAGAAATAATTCTCTTGTCAAATATTTAATTAATGTTTTAATTATTAAATCAAACTAATTGTTTTGAATTGTTGTAAATACCAATTAGGTTTGTTTTGGTTTTTACCAAATCTCTTTTTTATTCAAATCCAATTGTTTAGTTTTTTTTAAATAAAAACAGAATGTTAATTAATTAATTAATTAATATTAATTAATATTAATGTTAAAAAAACAGAATTATTAAAATAATTTCATTTTTTTTTCATTATTGTTGTCTCTTTTGGATGTATTTTTATAATTATAATTCTTTTACATTTGATTTTTTTAAATCAAATGTAAAAGTGTTTTTTATGGTAGACAAACAAAGGCATCTGGAGAAAAAAGAAGACGAGAGTTTGACAATTTTCCATTATCTTTTCTCCACGTAAATTCCGTATTTTTTGAATTAACCAATTTGGTTACTGGTTGTTAATAAATATAGAATTAAAATTATCGTTAACAATTCAATGTAATATCCCGATGTTTCACATTTTACACTTCTTTTTTAAATTTTCATTTTATTATTTAAAACAAGATGTATATTGAATATTAGAAAAAAAAGAAAACCAACAAATTAATGTTATGTGTTGAATATTACACTTCATATCATGGTTTTGTTATGAAATACCTTGTTTTTAACATGATACTTTATATTCAATTTAAAAATAATAAAGTACATTTTATTGTATTTTCAAAAGTCACTTTTATATGTAGAATAATAAAGTTTAAGAAAAATTAAATTACCCATCTATCAAAGAGTTACAAAATACTTCTTGACACTTTTGGTCTTCAGGAAAAACATTGTCTGTTGTATACACCTTTGAGCTTGGCGTTGGCAACGGAAATTGCTTTTTGAAAGATGAGAGTTTCACAGCGTTCTTTTTGAACTCTTCGATTGGAGACAATTTTCTAAGTATTTTGTTGATTGCTATTTTTGTGTTTTTCTCATTCTTGATATAAGTAAGTTGTCTCAAACACAATTTAGACTTCTCTGTGTTGATTGGAGTCCCATTTATTATCGAGTAATAGTTGTCCAAATTTAAAATAAGTTCATAGATGTGTACCATATCTATAATGAAGTACTCAACAGCTTTTTGGAGATAGGTGTTCTCAACCTTTTTTTCAAAACACTCAGTAACAAAATAACTTATAGCTTCGTAGAGTACGAAGACGTCACCTTCAAGTTGTTCGATGACTTGTGATATTCTGAATTGTTTTGGAAGAGGTTCATCGTTTTTGACAGTGAAATATCCAGTCAAAAAAGAATAGTCTTTATGGAATTGAAGGATCTTTTGGAGAAGTACCGAATAAAGTTCTCCCCAATACGAAAGATGTGTCGTGTTTGGTTCAAACGTCAATTTAAGTGATCTGTCTAGTTGTATCTCAATATTTGTTACTCTTTCAAACACAAGTGAATTGTCTGTTTGAGAAAGAAGGTGGAACAACAGAAGAGCTTTAAACTGTCTTAATGTGTCTTTCTCTTTATCAACTTTAATTACTTTTTTGATAATAGCTTTAATATCGTTTGGTTTCGAGCACTTTTCAAAATAATTCAAAGTATCCTTTTCGTGAAGTTCTGTTGTTGCAAAATAGTATTCAAGCGCATAGTGTAGTTCGATAAAGTTCATTTTGATTGTTTAGTTCTACCAAAAAGTTTAAATAGTAATGAATTGACTTAATTTTTCAAAGAAAATCAAAGGAAAGTATTTTTCGTACAACACAAGAAAAATAAAAAAAACACATTGAAGATACTTTCCACAATCGTTCTACAAACCAATTGAATGTGACCTTTTCCTACAAATAACTGGGGTAGTATCAACACCAAAGTAATTCTATTTTTTTCTTTTTTATCGTATACTAATATAACAAATAAACTATATTTTCGTCATTTGTTAAAACAATTTTCCTCCATTTTTTGAAATGCCATAATTTATACCTTCTAACAAACATGATTCTCGTTTGTGGTCGCTTTATTACCAATTTGATTAAAATAATTACAGTTTTATCAGACAGACTTAAGTTTCACAATTGGATGTTTAAGTGTCTTCAAACATCTAAACAGCCATTTTGAACTCATTTAAAACTGCTGTTTAAAAAACCTCGAGTATCTCTAATTGTTATTGAATAAAAAACAAACTTTCGATGTGATACAGCTTCTTCGATGTCTCAAATGTTTCTATTTGAGAACCTCCAAATCCTTTAAAATGCTTGTTGTCTCCTTTTTTTTTCTATTCAAAAACATTTTAACAATGAAAAAACATTTCAATGGAACAAAACTCGAAATGGAACCAAAAAAACTGAGAAACACAGAAATTTCATGTCAATCGATGTCACTTACCGCTGCGAAAATTGTCACAAAAAATACAACCGAAATAAATCAATTCTCCTTTGTCCATTTTGTGGCTCCGATTTTGTCGTAGAGCAGCCACACGCCTTATTTAAACAACCCCCACTTTCCCAGGCTGAAATATACGGCCGCCAGAAAGGGATCCCCAACGATCCTTTTTATCCAGATCCAGATTTTGTCGACTTCCCAACACTTCCCCATTCATCTGGTCGTCCAGATTTCAACCCAAATCCAAATTTCACAGGTGGCGATTTCTTCCTTCCTTCACACGCCAGAAATCCACTCCAAATATACCCAAGAAATCCATACACTGGTAGTAGTCGTCCTCCAGAATTGGTGATGCGCGATCCCGGTAACTTCGGAGATTTAGACGCGCACTTCGCAGGAAGGGTCAACCCAGAGATTCCACCATATCTGCAAGAACGAAGAGATAACACCGACGGGTTGCGTGTACCACACAAAGAGTGCTGTGTGAATTGTGGGAAGATATTGAGCAACACAGACGACATTATTACACTTCCCTGTGGACATCAAGGCCACGCGAGTTGTCTGAAACGCGCGGATTGCCCAATATGCCTCAGTCTCTATAGCTAACTCTGCTCACTTCAATTGAATTGTTACTAAACTATTATTTATTATAAATTACTTGATAAACTCTCTTTAGTCTTTTGGTATATCGTGAAATCGCCGATATCGACCAAATTACAACAGGCATCCATCAAAGCGTTAAGATCTGATATCTTCTTTTCTTTCTTGAGACGACAGAGAGCAGTCTTTGGAGTCTCTTTGGGGAGAAGGGTATTATAGATGAGTGTGTAAAATGAGCGTTTGTTGGTGGAGATGGTGTCACAACGTTGCTCCTCTTTTTTGATGGTTTCAAGTTCCTTTTGTTTTGCTCTGAGAATTTTTTTGGAATCTTGTGGGTTCATTCTGTCAAGCTTGTCTACCCAATCATCTCGCTCATCATCACTTTTCCGTTGACTTTTAGTGTAATTTCCATCCACATCAAAATCACCTTCATCCCTCTCATTTTCTAGATTGAATGGATCCAAACCTTCTTCGTCTGCTTCAGAACTAATCTCCTCTTCGTTTTGGACCCTTTCTCTCTCAATTTTGTCGTTGTCAAGTGTAGGTTCCGCACCTTTTTCAAGATCGTAATCATCTTTTTCTAGTTCTTTGTGTTTAAAGTTGTCGTTGGGAAGATCGAATTTTCCAAATTTTTTGTCAAGCCGCTCCTTCCGATTTTGGTCGATCTCATTCTGTAATTCACTCAGATTTACACTCATTCAATATTATTTTGATTAGTTTTTTTTTAGCAAACATTAACCATTATGTATAGTAAATCAAAACTATATCAAAAAGGGAAAGGTTTAAAGAAAAAAAGAGAAAAAAATCTGAAAAAGAAAGATGAGTGAGAGGAAAAAAAGTGAACGAAGTCGAAGCCGTAGCCGATCGCGGAGTGAAAGTCGTGGTGCGACTAAAGACGAAAAAGAACGTCCGTCCCGAACTTTATTTGCTCATAATATTTCGTACAACGTCCCAGAAACAGAAATCAAAGAACTCTTCTCGAAGTATGGAGAACTAAAAAAAGTTTTTTCGAAAATTGATGATCGAGGTATTGCGTTTATCACATATGTTTGTTTTGTGTTCTATATTTTCAAGTTCTTATCATTTTGTTTATTATTATTATATTATTTTGTTATTTGGCATTAACAAAACAGTATGACATCAGAGCCGCAGAGAAAGCTCATAACGATCTTGATAATCTCAAATTGAACGGCAGAACGATCAAGGTTCATTATTCCCTCCCAAAAGGAAACGAAATTAATCAGCCTGAAGTCATTGAAAATCACGTTTGTCATTTACACAATCTCATACATCTCTTTACATTTAAGACGGAACGAAAGCATTGAAAGGGAAAATAATTTGTAGGCTAATTTGTATGTCATGTTTAAAAGTTGCACCGTTCGTCCATCACGCGGGGAGGCATTTGAGTTCTTTTCCCAGTTTGGAGAGGTCACTGAAGTCAGAGATTCGTCAGACCCAACCGTGAAATTTGTTGAGTACTACGACTCCCGACACTCTGCCCGAGCACTCAAAGAGTCAAAAGGAATGAGTTTCAAAGGTGGTGTGATTGAGATTAGATATGCATCGTTTTCGAAAAAAGATGTTGAAAGAATCGAACAGAGTCGTGAGCGCATTAAAGGTTTAAGAGACGATGGAAAGGATCGATCTAAAACGGACCGCGAAACGAGTTCACGTGAACGTGATAGTGTTCGCGAACGTGAGTCAAATGAACCAAAGCGACTTATAATTCCGCCCCACTTGTTACAAGGACCTGTGTTATATCAGGGGTATTCGTATTACACCCAACAACAGTATGAGTATAACCCAAGTCAAATACCGCAACAACCACAACAATACCCACCCTATCGTGATGACACAAATAAAAATAGTTTCGGATATCCACAAATCTCTCAACAACCAAATTCTAGTACACAGAGTTACAACTCGCCATACGGAGCGAACAGTTACCAGTACTACCAACCTGTCCAACAATTCCCAGGACCACAAGCACAAACCATGCCACCAACCCAAAAAGATAAAAGCCCCTATTGAGTGTTCGATTGAAAGTCGTTCGATGAGTGAAATTGAATTTTATATCGCTTGTTTTGAGTCTGTCACATTGAGGCTTTATTGTTTTTCGTTTGCTGTTGTGACTGAGAAAATGAATAGTTAAAATTAATTTTGTGTAACAAATATATAATTTGTCCTGAAAATTCGTAATATTTTCCATTATTTTAAGTCATTGAAGTTCTTTTTAGAAACACGTTGATATTTGTCTTTGTAGCTGTTTGTTCCAAAAGTGCATTTGTTTTTAGACAATTTAGTTTGTTGTCATAAGTGAATGAATTTCAGATGGTTTTAAATATTTTAAGAGAGAAAAAGACATTTTAGGGAACAAAGAATTGCTTCAAGCACGCTTTGAAACTCTGAAATATGTAATTGGAGCTGTTTATGAAGGCTGAGGGTTTTGTGGTTGACAACTTGGGGTGTTACGGGAAGTCTATTATACTGGTGTTGTGGGGTTTTTGGCTTCTAACTGGATTTGTGTTATCGATTGGTGAAGTTTTTCAAAAAGGGACGATTGTCGAGGAAATGGTGTTTGATCCGAATAACCAAACAAAACTGACCTATTTTGGAGCCTTTTCTATTAACAGGACGTATCAAGCCGTGATCAGTGGGAAGAACACATCTGAAATAGAAGAAATGATGAATTCGGGAAGAGAGGTGAGTGATGTTATTAATGGCATTCACCACAACATGTTTGGCGAGGTGAAAACGTTTTCCGATTATGAGACGGGACTGAGTGTGTATAACCAATTTCAAGCGACATCATTAAAGCCGTTTGTGAAAAAAGATGAGCGAGTTATTGGGATGAGAGATATTACGGTGAGCGGGATTGGGTATTTCTGGTGGGGAAGTAACACGTCCGAGAATTTTAAAAAGGCAACACCAACGAACTTGACGTATACAACCAAATGTTCGTTCCAAGTTTGTTCTAATTATATATAACTATAGTTATACCATATGATATTATGTAAAGAACTGCAATAACACCGAGGCTTGCGAGTGTGCGGAATTTGATTTTGTGTCGATTCAAAGTGTGAAACAAGAGTCTTATGTATTTTTATTTGGATTAGATCCCACGATGTATAGTTTCTTGATATTCCATTCGAAGAGAGGAAAGCCTGAATACTCCTTTTTTAAAATTACATTCTCTTTGGCACTTAGTGTAGTCTCTATTGTATTTCTTATTGTGTATCTTGGATTGTATTTACTTAAAGCATTGTTAACAAAAGCCGATAATATAGGGAAGAGTGTGTACTTAAATTACATCACTTTTGTCATGTTGATTGCACTTCCTGTTTTTAATAACCCGATAGTAGTGGGGAGGTACTTCTATAATGCAGATTGGATGATATATGTGAACGACTGGCTCTTTTCTGTGTTTGAAGTTGCATTAGTAGCGTATATCTACACACATATAAGTGTGACTCGATTGGTTTGTTCAATTCTTTGTTATTGAGTAGTAAGAAGCACATCACACATAACACTTAGAAAGTATTCGAAGAGAAATTTGATGTTATTTCGACTCTCACGTTTTGTGGTGGGATAGTAATGTATCTCACATTCTATTCCTTGTATTTTGTAATGTATTCATTACCGACAAATAATTCACCGTTTGCAGTTATAACAGACTCAATGTCGATTGGGCTGCTCTTTGAAGGGCTTTCCTCGTTCATCCTCTTTTTGTTGTATGGGTGGGTGTTTGTTTTGTTACTCTTTTTATATTCACAAGTCCATCCCCCATTATACAAAGAACGCGTTGTTTGGTTCAGTACATTCACGGCTATATTACTCGTAGTCGTCGTTCTTCATTTTCTCTTCTTTCAAGACGTCAACCCAAACACTCGTTTGTTCTTGAATTCTGTTGTTTTTCAATTCATATGTAGCAATGACAAAACTCTGCTTACAATTAATTAGTAATTTATACATATTCACTATCGCTTATATGTTCTTCCCATCCCCACGAAATAACACTGACGCTTATGGCGTTGATGTATATGTTGGAGAGTATATACCCTTTTCTTTAAACTAGATCCTATTTCTTTTCAATCTAGATTCAAATAGATTGAGAAAAATAGAATCTATAAACTATTATAAGTAGTTTCTTTATTATAAAAGGATAGTTTTATAAATAACTATGCAACAAAGCATATAAATTAGATTCTCCTTCTGTTCAATCGAGTTCGATGGAGTATATATTGTCCTTTGTATCCTCCGCCCTTTTCTTCTCATCTTCTCTTTTGTCTAGTTGCTCGACCATTTCCTCGGGGTCATGAAGAACAATTTCTTGATGCATTTGGTCACTTTGTGGATCATTACCACTTAGACTGTCTTGGAAAAGTTGTGTGTAATTGTCACTCAGATTCATTGAAAACGCCGTTTTAAGTGTTTTCGTGTAGAATCCATGACCGAAGAACCCCACAAACATTGAAGGGACCAAATAGAGGAGTGCGGGTTGACCGACTCTGAATTTCCACAACATTAAAATCGTTAGAAGAAGTCCGAAGATGTACCCGCCGAGTGTACAAAAGAAGTACTTTGTTTTGTAGAATCTATCGAGGCAATATGTGAAGTTAATTAGTATGCCTGGTAGCACTATATCTCCCAATCCTATCATGAAGTGTCCATCGCCAAATATAGAATGAAACTCCAACAACAGTGGCAGTTTGAGTGATGTCGCTGTTTTGGCCGTCTCGACCATCACGGACTTCCCATCGAACACTGGGACCAAGACAGAGCCAAACACCCAGAAGATGTCATAAAAGAACATGACTGTCAAGAGCACGACTGGGATATAAACCTTACTGACATACAGCAGTGATTGAATCGCTATGGCCACACCAATCCCCACCAAATTCGTCGTGAAGGTCGTGTGCACCATTATATACATCACTATCACAAATACAGCCAACACGCAAGTAATAAAGTATTTCAAGTTATCAGGAAGGGAGTTCAGTTTCTCCGTGAGTGGAGTGAAGATGAGGTAGAAGCATGTGAACCCCGTAAAAAAGACGGAGAAGTATAAAAAGTACTTTCCAATCTTCGGGAAGAAGAAGATCAGAACTAAGACAAGAGAACTGACTACGGGTATTATAATGATGTGTTTCCACGTCATTGAAGCTTCTTTCACTGAAGAAAATAACGACGCAAGGGTGTACTGTTTATATAAACACGACAAGTAGTGCACCACGATCACACACAATATGAGTTGAATGATTTCGTCCATTTCGTTTGTTATTTTTAGTTCATTTGTGGTATTTTTAATAAACGTAAAATGTTATTCAAAATGTTTTGTAAACCTCAAAGTGACTTACAGAGAAGCGACCTCCTCCTTGTAAAGGACATCAAACTCCTTCTTGAGTGCGATTTCATCTTCAATCAAATTTTGAAAGTTGCGGAGGTTGTCTGCATTTCTCGAGTGTTCGAAGGGGAGTTTGAGATATCCGCCACGTGCGTATTTCTCATGGAGGTGTTTAAGTGTTGCGTTGTAGTGATAAGTATAGTCGTCGACGGGGTTCTTCTTTAAAGTGAATTGAATTGTCCTTCTTAGAGTGTCGATGGGATCTATAACTCTATCAGCTTCAGCTACAACTTTTCCATAGATGGTACGTGGAGGTGTCTTTGAAGACGCTCGATGGTCTTCTATGGCTTCTTTCATAATAAGAAGTTGGTCCTCTGTGAACCAATCACGAAGCCTTTGGTCTTCCATTAAAATTTGTCCAGAAAGAATGTGGTGTGTATCGCGATCAATTCCAATACCCGTGTCGTGATATGCCGCAATGGTGTAACACATCTCTTCGTCTAAATGGTTGGACTCCGAAAGAGACAGTGACTCAGTGATGACGGAACGAACGTGCAACAAATTGTGAGCTTTGTCGAACTGCTTGTATCGTGGGATGATTTCTGTCTCGATGTACTTGACCAAAGAATCTCGACAAGGCATCAATAAGAAAGCAAGTGCTTATCTTCATGTTATATATATACGAAATATAACCTAATGGATATTTCGTATTATTGTTTATATAAAATAACGGAATGTAATTTTATCTGAATAAAATAAAAAGCCGATAAATCTCGTTTTGAACTATTTTTTAACAACGTTATCGTAATCAAATCAAAATAGTGTTAATTTTAATTCCGTTAAAAAAGTGTTTTGTCTAGAATAAAAGAAAACAGGAGTTAGTTTATCGGCGGAAAAAAATGTGAAAACAATAAAAAACTATAATATACTACATTTTATTTTAATCTTATTATTTGTTTATCCAATATAATTGTTTTTTTGAGAGGACAAATTATTCACGAATAATTTATTTTATTATATATTTATTATACATTCAGAATTAGAGTTAAATAATAATAAAGCTAAATATCAAACCAAATCATCAAACTGAGAACTTAATAAAATAAATAGAAGATATCTCATCACCAGACCAACACAAAAGAACGTTTTTCACTTAATAATGATTGGTGCTCCCTTTGCGAATTTATTGATTTGTGCGATTCTCT